TTAATGTGCACAAATCAGTAGCTGTTCTATACACCAACAGCAACCAAGCTGAGAAATCAAGAATTCAACCTCTTTTATAACAGCTGCAAAAATATTTGTATAAAACATTTAGGAATATATCTAACCAAGGAGGTGAAAGACCTCTACAAGGAGAACTACAAAACACTGCTGGAAGAAATCATAGACGACACAAACAAATGGAAACACATCCCATGCTCATGGATGGGTAGAATCAATATTGTGAAAACGACCATATTGCCAAAAGCAATCTATAAATTCAATGCAATTCCCATCAAAATACCTCTGTCATTCTTCACAGAACTAGAAAAAACAATCCTGGCCTGGTGTTGTGGCTCACGCCTGTAATCCAAGCACTTTGGAGGCCAACGCGGGCGGATCACCTGAGGTTGGGAATTCAAGGCCACCTGACCAACATGATGAAACCCCATTAAAAAAAAAAAATCCTAAAATTCATATGGAACCAAAAAAGAGCCTGCATAGCCAAAACAAGACTAAGCAAAAAGAATAAATCTGAAGGCATTACATTACCTGATTTCAAACTATACTATAAGACCATAATCACCAAAACAGCATGCTATTGGCATAAAATAGGCAGACAGACCAATGGAGCAGAATAGAGAACCAGAAATAAAGCCAAATACTTAAAGGCAACTGATCTTTGACAGCAAACAAAAACATAGAGTGGGGAAAGGACACCGTATTCAACAAATGGTGCTGGGATAATTGGCAAGTCACATGTAGGAGAATGAAACTGGATCCTCACCTCTCACCTTAGACAAAAATAAACTCAAGATGAATCAACGACTTAGATCTAAGACCTAAAACTATAAAAATGCTAGAAGATAACATTGGAGAAACCCTTCTAGACATGGGCCTCGGCAAGGATTTCATGACCAAAAAAGCAAATGAAACCAAAACAAAGACAAATAGCTGGGACTTAATTAAACTAAAGAGCTTTTGCATGGCGTAAGGAGCAGTCAACAGAGTAAACAGACAACCGACAGGGCAGGAGAAAGTCTTCACGATCTATATATCTGACAAAGGACTAACATCCAGGATCTGCAATGAACTCAAACAAATTAGCAAGAATAAAAGCAAACAATACTGTAAAAAAGTAGGCTAAGGACATGAATAGACAATTATGAAAAGAAGATACACAAATGGCCAACAAATATATGAAAAAATGCTCGGCCGGGTGCGGTGGCTCAAGCCTGTAATCCCAGCACTTTGGGAGGCCGAGGCGGATGGATCATGAGGTCAAGAGATCGAGACCATCCCGGTCAACATGGTGAAACCCCGTCTCTACTAAAAATACAAAAAAATTAGCTGGGCATGGTGGCACGTGCCTGTAATCCCAGCTACTCAGGAGGCTGAGGCAGGAGAATTGCCTGAACCCAGGAGGCGGAGGTTGCGGTGAGCCGAGATCGCGCCATTGCACTCCAGCCTGGGTGACAAGAGCGAAACTCTGTCTCAAAAAAAAAAAAAAAAAAGAAAAAATGCTCAACATCAGTAATGATCCAGGAAATGCAAATAAAAACCACAGTGTAATCTACATTACTCCTGCCAGGTTGGTCATAGTCAAAAAATAAAAAAATAATAGATGTTGGCGTGGATGCGGTGAACAGGGAACATTTCTACACTGCTGGTGGAAGATAAACTAGTACAAACACTATGAAAAACAGTGTGGAGATTCCTAAAGAACTAAAAGTAGAACTAACATTTGATCCAGCAATCCCACTACTGGGTATCTACCCAGAGGGAAAGACATCATTATACGAAAAACATACTTGCACACTTATGTTTATAGCAGCGCAATTCACAATAGCAAAACCATGGAACCAACCCAAATGCCCATCAATCAACGAGTGGATAAAGCGCATCCTATGTGGTTTATACATAGGATGGAAAACTACTCAGCCATAAGAAGGAATGAAGTAATGGTATCTGCAGTGACCTGGATGAGACTGGAGACTAATATTCTAAGTGAAGTAACTCAGGAATGGAAAACTGAATGTCGTATGTTCTCACTCGTAAGTGGGCGCTAAGCTGTGAGGAAGCAAAGGCATAAGGATGACACAGTGGACTCTGGGGACTCAGGGGGCAAGAGTGGGATGGGAGTGAGGGATAAAAGACTAGAAATTGTGTGCAGTGTATACTGCTCAGGTGATGGGTGTACCAAGAGCTTACAAATCACCACTAAATAACTTCATCATGTAACCAAATACCTGTTCCCAATAGCCTATGAAACAAAAATTAAAAAATAAAATCACAAATTTTGTACCCAGAAAAAGAAGAACCATAATTTTTAAAATTAGGGAAAAGATGAAAAAGATACAAGAGAAAGTGACAAAAAAGATTCAACTCATGGATAATAAGAGTTCCTAAAGAAGTAAAACCAAACCAATGAAGAACGAGTCCTGAAAACTTTATAGAGATAGAAAACAAAAGGCTGGAAACTACATTCTGAAAGAGCACACTGCATACCTAGAGGATGGACTCAACACAGTCATCAGAAAGACATATTCTAGTGACATTACCGGTCTTTAAAGATAAAGGGGGAAAAATCCAACCAAACACTTTTGTGTATCTAGGCAAAAATGAGACAAGTTGACTTACAAGGGCAAGAAACTTACATTACCATTTGAATTTTCAAGAGCAACACTTTATATCAGAAGAAAATGGAGAATGTATTTAAGATAATCAAGTAAAAAATTGTATACCCAGCAAAACTGCTTTATAAGCACATTGGGCACAGACTACTGTGAACAGTTAAGCAGGGAAACTGTTACTCCCGTGAGCCCTTCCTGAGGAATCTACTACGGAATGAGGTTCAGAGAGACACTGACGTAAGCACTGGCGGTGAGCATAAACATATAGTTGCTTACTGGACTAAGTCTGAAGGACGGTTAAACTGGAGAGAATAGAGCACGTAATGGCTGCAGTCTTGGCAGTACAGATACAGTGTAACCATTTTAAAATACAGAGGAATGTTCATAGCCTAGAGCGGTTAAGGAGACAAGACAACTAAATGTAATGTGATATCCTGGACCAGATCCTGAAACAGAAAAAGGAGACTAGGTACAGACTAATAAAATCTGAGAATGGATTTTAAAGTATGGACTTTAGTTAATAACAATGTATCACTATTGGTTGATTAATTGTAACAAATAGGCCATCCTAATGTAAGTAATAGGAGAAACTGAGTGTGGAGTTATGTGGGGAAAATACCCCGTCTTCAATTTTTCTGTAAATGTAAAACATTCTAAAATAAGAGTTTAATTACTAAAAATGAGAATGGAGGCCAGGCGCGGTGGCTCAAGCCTGTAATCCCAGCACTTTGGGAGGCCGAGGCGGGTGGATCACGAGGTCAAGAGATCGAGACCATCCTGGTCAACATGGTGAAACCCCGTCTCTACTAAAAATACAAAAAATTAGCTGGGCATGGTGGCGTGTGCCTGTAGTCTCAGCTACTAGGGAGGCTGAGGCAGGAGAATTGCCTGAACCCAGGAGGCGGAGGTTGCGGTGAGCCGAGATCGCGCCATTGCACTCCAGCCTGGGTAACAAGAGCGAAACTCCGTCTCACAAAAAAAAAAGAGAATGGAAAGAGAAAATACCAAAAAGTTAACCATTTTCAATAGGCACACTGGCGATGATATTAAAATTAATATTTTTTAAAACCCCACATAAAATTAATACTCAAAAGCTGTTGTTCTGTGTAATTAGTATATATGGAATATTAATTCAGTCATTCCCTGAGTTCTTGGAAACAAGGAAAGAAGGAGATGGAGATATAAAAAAAGTGAAGTTAAAAACTCTGTAGAACTGAATTTGAATTGGAAGTTTCTATAGGAATTTCTGTAGCATTGTATTGTGTGTGCCTGTGTGTACACATAAATGTGTATCTCCTAGCCCTGTCCACTGAAAAGACCTACAAATAGTGACAGAGTCGGTGGTTTTAGGTGTTAAGGGGAAAAAAGCAAAGCAGAGAAGGGGATCAGGTGCATCAGAGTGTGAGGTTGTGAGTTTTTTTGAGACAGAGTCTCTCTCTGTCACCCGGGCTGGAGTGCAATGACAATCTCAGCTCACTTCAACCTCTGCCTCCCAGGTTCAAGTGATTCTCCTACCTCAGCCTCCTGAGTAGCTGGAATTATAGGCATGTGCCACTGTGCTTGGCTACTTTTTGTATTTTTAGTAGAGACAGTGTTTCACCATGTTGGCCAGGTTGGTCTCAGACTCCTGACCTCAAGTGCTCTGCCCGTCTTGGCCTCCCAAAGTTCTGGGATTACAAGCATAAGCCACCACGCCCAGCCAAGTTGTGATTTTTAGACAGAGTGGCCATGGAAGGCCTCCCTGGGAGGGTGGCATTTGAATAAAGACGTGAAGAAGCAAGTCATGTGGGTATCTGGGGAAGAGTGCTTCAGACAAAGGGAAAGTATACAGTCTCAGTGCAGGGCACGTCTGGGGGGTCTGGGGATCGACAGGGGCCAGAGTGTTCCAAGCAGATGAATGAAGAGTGAGGGGCTCCAGAGTGATGGACGAGGCCAGAGGCATCTTATAGGACCTTGAAAGCCACTAGGGAATCTGAACTTTACTCTGAGTGACACAAGACGCCACTTGAAGTTTTCAAACAAGAGAGTAAGGTCTAATGGAATGCAGATTGACCTGGGAATGGGAATGGTAAATAAGTTCCTTAAATGTGAGAAACATCCACATTTAAGTGCCTATTTAATGAAGATGATGGTTACCATTTTTACAGTAGGCAGAAAATACATGTCCTGCAGATGTCAGAAAATTCCCCATCCATTTTTCCCCCAGAAGAGCTACAGCTGACTTAAAATAATTGCCAGTAGATTAAAACACAACAACATGTATCAGGAGACACAGGAAAGAAGTAGGCTCCAAAATTGCTTCCTTCTGTCCCAGATAAACATCAAGTTTTGGACTTTGTCTGCTTTGTGCAAACACGGGGAGCAGCTCACCTCAGCCAGGGCCAGCGCGGAGAAGGGCGTGTCTTCGGCGGGCTTCACCACCACGGTGCAGCCAGCTGCCAGGGCAGCCCCCACCTTCCGGGTGATCATGGCACTGGGGAAATTCCACTAGGGTTAGAAGAGCAGGGGAAGTATATGAGAGGAAGGACTGCCTCATTAGTGCAACGGAAGGCAGATTAGGAAGTCAGAGAATAAATTCCATTGCACAATGATTGACAAACCTGTTTGGCTGCACAGGTGAGCTCTCAGAACACCTGGCCCCGCCAACTTGAGGGACTCTGAGATAAAGTCTCATGAAGACAGAAAATATTTGTAGAAATTTAACACAGTAAAAAATGAGTTAGACCAGGGGTCAGCCAACTTTTTCTGTGAATGGCCAGATCATAAATTTTTTAGGCTTTGTAGAATGTATGGTTTCTATGGCAGCTACTCAACTCTGCAGCTGTACTGTGAAAACAGCCACAGACAGTAGGTATATAAATGGGTAAGGCTGTGTCCCAATAAAACTTTATTTACAAACATAGGCAGTGGGCCGGATTTGACCTGAGGCCCATGGGAAAAAATATTAGCAATGGTTTTGAAAATGGTAGATGATTACTTCCTTCCACATACATATTTATAGATGCCTAAAGACTTACCTATAATAACAATATTTTGTTTTATTTTGAAAAACTCATACATAGTGCTTACTCTGTAGCAGGTATTTTTCTAAGTACTTAAAAATTAAAATTAATTAAATCCTTATCACAACCCAAGGAGGTTGATATTAACCTCATTTGCAAGTTCAGGAAAACTGAGCAGTGTAGTTAAATAATATGAACAAGGTCTCATAGCTGGTAAATGGTGACCTTCAAGTCAAACTGAGTCCGTCTAGGCACCAGGGGGATTCTGTCTGTAACTATGCTGAGCAGGAAACGCACAAGCATCTTGAGACCAGCTGACAGATACAGGAGAGACGTTAATAGGACCTAGTAGATGGCAGGACCCAGGGGGAAAGTAGGCGTGCCACAAACATACTGCAGCCCCATCCTGGCAGATGTGATCCCTTCCTTCTTAGCCTTTTTACCTCTAGAACCTGGCCCAATGCCTGCTGGTGGGTCCACAGATGCTTTGCTGTTGATGATAACCACCAATTATGCAAAAAACTTTTCCCCAAACTTTTAAAATGTGTCATATCTTAAGTCTTTTTAAAAATGACAAATACCAGAAGATCTTTTCAGAGGTGCTTGGCAATGCTGGGAAGAACCCTCCATGCCAAGTCCGAAGAGCCCCTGGGTCCTCCCGTGGCTCTTCTCACTTTCGCAGCATTAGAAATGCCTCCTTCCACTCAGCGCCACCACACCTAACATGATCACAGAGGACCAGGAAGCACACCTCCACATCCAGCAAAAGCATCAGGAAACCAGGAACAGGTGACAAAGCTAACAGGGTGAGGACACCTGCTTACGAGGAAGAATGAACTGTTTCCCAGCTCCCTAACCCACCCCCCACGCTAGGGTCTTGCAGAACCTGCCACCTACCGGGGTGATGACTGCAGCCACACCTACGGGCTGCTTGAGGACCAGGGACCGCTTGTCCCTTGCCGAGGTGTAGATAATGTCCCCGTAAACACGGCGTGCTTCCTCTGAGAACCACTCCAGGAAAAGGGCGGAATAGAGGATTTCTCCCTGCGCCTCCTTCAGTGGCTTTCCCTGAATCAAATCAGAAAGGAACCCACGTATCACCTTCTAATAATAAAAGCATGGCTCTGTGTTCCTAATTTCTTCAAGGTGCAAGAAGACTAGAAAAGTCTCCTATGATGACACCCACACAATGGGGACATTTCTGACTTTGGTGTGAGTTTTAGAATTACAACGCTGAATATATGCATGGTTGTATCACCCTAAACCACGAGAGTAATCTGCATTCCTAATTGTTTACAAATGAGGAAACATCTAATTTTTTCTTCTTTTCAGTACCTCCTAAGTATTGTAACCATGATATGAAATAATTTATTATATCCATGGAAGAAATATTGGTACATTAAAAATGTACAAAAACAATATAAAAAAACAAAACAAAAAACAGTAACAGGAAAAAATCAGAATGGTGAAACAGCAGTTATTCATATAGTTCCAAACAAAATCTACTTTTGGATACTATTGAAGAATAAACTAGAACATACAAATTTCATTTTAGCAAATCTATATACCCTGGCACAATAATGATTTGGCATTTGATTAGTAGCAAAGGAATCACATATTCTTTAGCTACAGCCAGCAGTGATGGGCAGTCAGGCCTTTTCCAAGCTTAGTCTCAGAATCCCTGGACAATTTCTCAGTGCACCAAGCCAGGACCCTGGACTTACACTTTCAGCTGTGATGATTTTGGCAAGATCGTCCTTATTTTTTATCATTAAATCGTACCACTTCCGAAGTAATGAACTCCTCTCCTGCAGAAGAAATAAGGCAGAAAACTAATAAAATGCCAAGTGTAAGACAGAATGGCAAATAAAATTCAGTATCCTAAAATATTAGCTGTCTGGTCTCATTCTCCTTGGCTGTGAGGGTTAATTTTATGTATAAATTTGACTGGGCTCAAGGAGGCCCAGATAGCTGGTAAAACATTATTTCTGGGTGTGTCTGCGAGAGTTTTCAGAAGAAATTAGCATTCGAATCAGTAGAGTGAATAAAGATTTGCCTTCACAAATTCAGCTGGGCATCATCCAATCTGCTGAGGACCTGAAAAGAACAAAGTGGCAGCGGAAGGGCAAATTCACCCTCCTGCATGAGCTAGGACATCCATTTCTTCCCGCTGTCAGACACCAGACACTGGCATTCCTCGTACTCAGGGCTTTAGACCCAGGATGGGACTCAGACTGGACCTATCAGCTTTCTTAGATCTCCAGTCTGCAGACAGCAGGGGGTGGGACTTCTTAGCATCCACAGTCAAATGAGCCGGTCCTTTACAAGAAGTCTCTTCCTATTTTCCTGCGTATCTGTGATTCCACTTGTATACACAGAACTCTGGCTCTCACAGCACTGAGCAACCCTGGGTAAGATGCCTAGGGAAACATACACTGACCTTCTGGTTTTTTTTCTTTCAGACAGGTCTGGGTTTGGACAATGGGAAGCACACAAATCTAAAAAGATTTTTAAAAATTTTAAAAAGAGACAGGGTTTTGCTCTGTCACCCAGGCTGGAGTGCAGTTGTGTGACCACAGCCCACTGCAACTTCTGCTCCCTTGGCTCAAGTGATCCTCCCAGCTCGGCCGACTGAGTAGCTGGGACCACAGGCACACATCACCGTGCTCAAATTGTTTTCCTTTAACTCATTTGTATTTGTTACAACTTTAAGCGGAATGTGACCCGGGCGGGCGCTACATTTACACCCATAGGACTGGCTCTGAGTTATCTGTGAACAGCTTCCTGACATGCTTGTGTCGGCTTGTAACTTTGCTCCTGCAAACAATACTTTTCTTTGGAAAACAAGCCCTGTGGAGAGTTCCTTCCACCAAGTTGCTTCAGTTTAACCTGTTTCTAGATGACTAGTACACGCGGGATTGGCAACTACGGGATGAGAAGTTCAAAAAGTAGATCCGACGAGATGCAACAAATACTCTTTTTCTAAACAACAAGGTATAGCTGGGGAACGCTTTGAGAACAAGATTTGGTCTACTGAGGAATCTGGCTTGACAGCTAAACACTTTAGATCACAAAGTTAACATCGTGTTACATACGTCTTGCAACGATCACGTCTATCTGTTAAAATGAGCCAATGTGAAGCCATAAAAGCATTACTAGCTCTGCTTTAGGGCCTAAGGTATCACAGCATCACTTAGAAGCAGAAAGAAATCTTATCTTCCCCTTAAAGTAGTTGCCATGCCACACAGACTATTCATGCCAACAGGATCTACAGGATGATCAAGCTCAGCTAATTACAATCTCTTTGTATAGACCAGGTCCCACACTATATTGCTCATGCTTCTTTGATACGTAATAGAGATCCAATTTCAAGTTACATCTAAAGAGGCATACTGAGTCATAAATTAGAAAAGTTTTTGTGGAAACAGCTATTATTGCTTATGATAAATAAGAACAACTTTAATTTTACCATACGAATGCCTGGTTCCCTCCGGTATTAATATTATTTTACATAGGGTGTTGATCTGACGCCCAGGCTGGAGTGTAGTGGCACAATCACAGCTCATCACAACCTCAGACTGGGCTTTCAGTGATGCTAATGCCTCAGCCTCCTAAAGTGCTGAGATTACAATTGTGAGCCACCAGGCCTGGCGCATTCTACTTTCTGTCTCTGTGAGTTTGACAACTCTAGGTACCTCTTATCAGTACAATCATACAGCATTTGCCCTTTTGTGAATGGCTTATTTCACTCAGCGTAATGTCTTCAAGTATTGTTCCCCATTATAGTGGCTCGCTGGTCAGCTGGATTTGTCCCATAGACTGACGTGAGGACTGGGGCATGCGTGAGGCATAAAAAAAGGGCTTTACACACTTAAGAAGAGGACCCAGGCACAACATGAATGCACTAAATACCACTGAAATGCACACTTAAAAATGGTTGAAATGGTAAATGTTAGGCATATTTTACCATAATTTAAAAATTTCCAATGAACAGAAAAACAGATAAAGGGACACATTAGATTATTAACAATGTTATAGGACCAGGTGTGGCGGCTCATTCACATAATCGCAACACTTTGGAAGGCCAAGGAGGGAGGGTTGCTTGTGGCCAGGAGTTTGACACCAGCTTGGGCAATGCAGTGACACCCCTTCTCTACACACACACACGCACACACACACACAAACACACACAAATTAGCTGTGTGTGGTGGCGCATGCCTGTGGTCCCAGCTACTCAGGAGACTGAGGTGGGAGAATCGCTTGGGCCTATGTGTTTGAGGGTGCAGTGATGCAGTGAGCCACGACAGCCCCACTGTATTCCAGCCTGGGCAACTCAGTAAGACCCAGTCTCAAAAAAAAAAAAAAAAGGAAGAAATGGTTTCTAAAAAACTTTTTTAAAATGAATTCACATAAAACTACTTTAAAATAGAAAAAGAGGAAGGCCTAGGGAATCTAGGCCCTGGGCTGCTATTGAGGCACTCTAAAGAGAGAGCTGCCCCGGCCGCTCACTTCCCGCATCTGCACAGGTGTATCCAAAGCCAAGAAGAACCTTGATTTTTTGAGACAGTCTCACTCTGTCACCCAGGCTGGAGTGCAGTGGCGTGACCTTGGCTCACTGCAACCAACCTCAGCCTGCTGAGATGAAGCAATTCTCATGCCTCAGCCTCCTGAGTGGCTGGGATTACAGGTACACACCACCATGCCTAACTGATTGACTGATGGATTTTTGAGACAGAGTCTTGCTCTGTCACCCAGACTAGAGTGCAGTTGGCATAATCTCAGCTCACTGCAACCTCTGCCTCCGGGGTTTAAGCAATTCTCCCTGCCTCAGCCTCCTGAGTAACTGGGATTACAGGCGCCTGCCACCATGCCCAGCTAATTTTTATATTTTGTAGTAGAGACAGGGCTTTGCCATTTTGGCCAGGCTGGTCTTGAACTCCTGACCTCAGGTGATCTGTCTGCCTCAGCTTCCCAAAGTGCTGGGATTACAGACATGAGCCACCGTGCCCAGCCAATTTTTGTATTTTTAGTAGGAACGGTGTTTCGCCATGTTGGACAGGCTGGTCTCGAACTCCTGACTGCAGGTGATCCACCCGCCTTGGCCTCCCAAAGTTCTGGAATTACAGGTGTGAGCATATATCCCCTCCTTTCAAAAAGGAAGGTTCCCTGAGAAGATCCAAGCCCTTGTAAGATGGAAGCTGACATCACTGTAATGTTGGATGGAAGGGATGATCTGAGCACATGAGGATGTGTGGTGTCGTCGCACCCAGGATGATGCTGCTAGTGTCAGCGAGAGCTCCCAACACCAGCCCTGCAGCTGCCAACCCACCACTGACGGGACTAGAAGGCTCCCCAGACCCCTGTAGGATAGCACCATTGCATGGCAGACTTGATCTCGTGGGCCCTCGTGGGACTCCAGAATGATGCTAGGGGAGCCAGTGCTCAGGCCCTGGTCCACTCCTTTCCTGTGACCTCGCCATTCTCACAGCTGTAAGTATATATGCAGCACACACAGGTGTGAATTTCACATTTACACCATGGCTTGCTCTCAAACCCCAGACTCATATATCCAGCTGCTTACTCGACATCCTCACAGGGGTGAGAACAGACATCTCAGACTCAGTAAGTCTAACGCTGAACTCTGATGTCTCACCCTAATGCTGTTCCACACACACACCTTTCCCTGTCTCAGGACTTCCTTCCAATTTTTCAGGCCAAAACCCTAGAGTCATGACTAACCCCCTCTTTCACCTACTTCCCTTTTAACAATCCATCAGAAAATCCAGCGGGCCCGATCTTCAAAATACATCCTTTATGGGACAAGTCTTCACCTCGCCCACTGCTACCACGTGGTTCAAGCCACCGTGGCCTCCCAGCTAATCCGAGCAACATCCTCCTAACCCGTCTCTCTGCTTCTGCCACCGTCCCTTCTTCATCTATTCTCAGCACTGTGGTTACAGTGGCATTTCAAAATGTGAATCAGATCATATCTCTGCTTAAAACCCTGACCAGGGTAAAACCCCACCTTTCTCAAAGTGAAACCCAAGTCCCTAAATACCCCACAGGTCCTACAGGCTCCACCCACCCTTCCCCTTCTCCCTGTGACCTCCTCTGATACCGCTCCTCCCTTCTGCTCAGTCCACAGGCCTCCTCGTGGCTCTGCAAATGTGTCAGACATGCTCCTGACTTCCACTTTAGCTGAATTTCCTTACTTCCTTTGGTCTTTGTATCTCGTGGCCTCAGTGAGACCTACCCTGATGTTATGCACTGAATGGTGCTCCCCAAATATTGACATGTTGAAGTCCTAACGCCCCAGTATCTCAGAATGTGAGTGTATTTGGAGATAGGGCATTTAAAGAGGGAACTGAGTTACGATCAGATCATTCTGGTGGGCCCAATCCAATCAGACTCTTATTTTCATAAGAGATTAAGACACAGACACTCACAGAGGAGAGAGCATGTGGGACACAGAGGGAAGATTCACTCATATATCCAGCTGCTTACTTTACATCCTCACTCGGGTGTGAACAGACATCTCAGACTCGAGGAGTCTAAAACTGAGCTCTGATGAGATACGAAGACCAAATGAGCTCTCTCCGCAAGCCAAGGAGAGAGGCGTTGGAAGAAACCAACCATAACAACACCTTGCTCTGGGACGTGTACCCTGCAGAGCTGTAAAGTGAGAAATTTCTGCTGTTCAGGCCTCACAGTCTGGGGTTCTTTGCTATGGCAGCCCTAGCTAAGGAATACGCCCGACCGCACTACCAACGCTCCCTTCCCTCCGGCCCGGATCCTCTTCTGCGTCTACCCTTTTTCCCCACATTGCACTCAGCACCTCTCACACACTTCTTTGTTTCGCTGTTATGTTAGTTGTTTAGAGTTCTGATTTCTCTTCTGCTCCCCTTCCACCCCATGTAAGCTCCTTAAGGGTAGAATCTTTCTTTCTTTTACTGATGTATCCCAAGCACCTCCATCGGTGCAGGGCAAACAGCAGGTGCACAGTAAACAGCTGATGGATGAGTGAGTGCCAAAACTCTTGTACTCATAGGGATCATTGGATACAGTCCTTCAGAGGGAGAGCTTTGAAGGACGGGGTAAAAATTTCACTGCGTTGACTCGAGGCATAATATAAAACCTGAAGGAAGAAGAAACTTCCTTCGTTTTCTTCTTACTGTTCTCCTTTACTCCGTGCTCCCAATTCTCCCGTGTGCTCTACGCAATGCCAATAGGGGCATTTACGCATTTAAGCTGAAAACCTTCTTCTTATTCTATTCTTCCCGTGTAATGGCCCTTTACCCCTTGCTCCCAATTCTCCTGTGTCCTCTACGCAATGGCCAATAGCAGCATTTACATATTTAGGCTGAAACCTGGAGAATGGTCCTGGACTCCTCCCTTCCGCTGCACAAAGCCCAAATCTTTCTACACTTCTCTCTGCCGATTCCGAGCCTCTGGCCCGGGAGCCTCACTACAGGCCTTCCTATGGCCCGCTGTAGCAGCCTCCTGCGTGGATTCTCCGCAGCTGGGGAGGTTATTTCTCTGAGGGGCCACACGTGCTCTCACTTCCCCGACCACCCGCCCCCTTCCCCCCCCCCCCCCGCCCAGGTTAGGCTCGTTGACTGTAACACTCAGCTGGTGGTATAAGCGCTCGCGTTCTGCTTCCCCTACTGGGCCGTGCACGCTTCCCGAGGCTGGAGGGCACGGGCCGCACGTGCTCTCACTTCCCCGCCGCACCCCTCCCCCTTCTCCCACCCCCCTCTCCCCCCCAGGTTAGGCTCGTTGACTGTAACACTCAGCTGATGGTATAAGCGCTCACGTTCTGCTTCCCCTACTGGGCCGTGCACGCTTCCCGAGGCTGGAGGGCAGGGGCCGCGTCCCCAGCGCCCGGCACAAAGTGGAAGCTGCAAACTTATTGTTGGTCGTCTCCCTTCGTGTTGCTCTGACTTTCCGCATTGTGTATCCCGGGGAACCGCGCACCGGAGTGGGGCGACGCGGCTGGTTTCTCGCTGGGGCCAAGCCCTTCTCTCCCCGCCGTGCCTCCGGCCAGCTCTGGCCCCCTGCACTCGGGCGCTCTCACCTTGGCCGAGACCCCCTTCCAGCTGCAGAAAGCCTCGTAGGCGGCGCGCACAGCGGCGCGGGCCTCGGGCACCCCGCAGTCGGCCACCATGCCCAGGGAGGCGCCGCTGGCCGGGTCCTGCACCGGGAAGGTGGCGGCGGCCGGGAGCCAGCGGCCGCCCACGAAGCTGTCGGTGCGCAGCAGCGCGGCGGAGAGGCCCGCCAGGCCCCCAGCATAGCCGCGGAGCTGGGCCGGGCCGGGCGCTGGACCCGAGGCAGCCGCCGGGCCGCCGGAGCGGGGGCGGAGGCAACAGCCGGGAAACGTCCAACCGAGGCGCCGGGCCCCGGAGCTCCGCAGCCAGAAGCAGGTCGCCATGGCCGGGGTAGCGACGGCGACAGGAAACAGGCAAGCGGGCGCGCGCGCACGGGAGCGCGGGGGTCAAGGGGAAGCGGGAGGAGCGAGGCGGCGCCGTGGGCGCGCGGGGGAAGCGCAGGAGCCGGCGGGAGGTGGCAGAGCCGCGGAGCAGCGCCCTCTCTCCGCGCCCTTCGCGCTGCACCGCCGCGCCCCAGTGGACCTTGCCCTGAGCGCCGCGCTGCTTCGCTCCCGGCCCCACCTTCTCCCGGGGGAGGGTTGGGGTCGGGGATGGAGGAGGCTCGCGGGCAGACGCACCTGCGGACTGCTGTCACTTTTCCTCCTTTCGGGTGCTCATTTGGCACTAACTGCTCCCGAGACCCCCAACCGCTCCTAGAGACCCGCTCTCAGCATCTCCCCAAATTCGGCATCCCCAGAATGTGTGCGCGGTCCATAGATGTTGCTGGTGCCTGCCCTGGATGCCAAGGCCGTGGTCACGCGTCTCCATCGCTGAGCTCCGCAGCACGTAGGGTGGATTGGGAGCGATGGTTCCGTGAGGGCGCCAAGTGTGACCCGGCGTTCTGCCGCCTGGCTGCTTTTCTGGCTGTGTGTCTTGGCATTATCTTAGGGGCGCTCCCGATAAATAACAGCGCCTTGGGAAGAAACACACTAGAATCCAAACTCAGTGTGTTGCCGACAGGCTTTGTGACCTTCGACAAGTTAACCTTAGTCCAGTCACTTAGAAAATAGAACCAAGTCTACCCCATAGGTTTGCTGTGAGATAACGTAAAATGCTTATGACAGTTGCTACTTTAAATTCAGTACAGTGCTCAAAGTCATACAAGCCGCCAGGAAGATTAAAGTTGGGCCACCAACTAGCAAAAGGAAGCATTTGTCAAAATTAACCAAGGTGTAAGGATTGAGCACTTTTAAACAGCATTCTTCCTCCGTTCAAAAATTAGACTTGGGCATAAAACTCTCCAAGCATCAGGGAAGCTTAAAGCCCAATGAGAATAAAAATAAAAATAGCAGGTCTTTGCTGGGAGTTTGTGGGTGCAAATGAAGCTCAACCCTATGCACTGATTTTAGGTTACTAGTCTCAACATAGCTCCCTGGCTCAACTCCTACAGAGTTTCACCTTTTTCTAGGACATTGAATTTTTTTCTAGGACATTTGCAAAATGCCGAGGCAGTAACTTTAAATTTTGACTTTGTCTTTTGCTGAGTCAGGCCCATTTTAAGCCAGTTAAATCTGGCAGAAGTGGTAACAGCAGAGTTTAATCAATTTCACGCTACTTTGTTCTTTGATTGCAGGAACTGGGAGGTCGGCCTTAGGTACCTGGGGAGCTGGTGTGTTTACATCTCCTGCCTGCAGAGGGAGGGGTGTGTGGGTCCGAGACTCACTCTGTGGCTCATGCTGGAGATCGGTGGTGTGATCTCGGTTCCCTGCAGCCTCCGCCTCTCGGGTTCAAGCGATTCTCCTACCTGAACCTCCCGAGTAGCTGGGACTACAGGCATGCACCACTACACCCAGCTATGTTTTGTATTTTTAATGAAGACTGGGTTTCACCACGTTGGGCAGACTGGTCTCAAAAGCCTGACCTCAGGTGATCTGTCCTCCTTGGCCTCCCAAAGTGCTGGGATGACAGGATAGCCCATTTCTGTCTGTTCCCGTGCCCGCTGGAGTGCAATGGTGCCATCTTGGCTCCCTGCAGCCTCCGCCTCCTGGTTCAAGTGATTCTCCTGCCTCAGCCTCCTGAGTAGCTGGGAATACAGGTGCCTGCCACCATGCCAAGCTAATTTTTGTATTTTTAGAAGAGATAGGGTTTCACCATGTTGGCCAGGATGGTCTCCATCTCTTGACCTCGTGATTTGCCTGCCTCAGCCTCCCAAAGTGCTGGAATTACAAGCGTGAGCTGCCGCACCTGGCCAGGATAGCCCGTTTCTACTGGCCTAGGGCAGTCATTTAATTGAGGCCTCAATCAACTGAGGCCCAGAAAAGTCAAGTTAATTGTGGCTGCCTCTCTTGTTCAAAAATTACTCTAGGCCCAGCGCAGTGGCTCACGCCTGTAATTCCAGCACTTTGGGAGGCTGAGGCAGGTGGATGACCTGAGGTCCAGAGTTCGGGACCAGCCTGGCCAACATGGTGAAACCCTGTCTCTACTAAAAATTAAAAAATAATTAGCCAGACCTGGTGCCAGACACCTGTAATCCCAGCTACTCTGGAGGCTGAGGCAGGAGAATTGCTTGTACCCAGGAGGCGAAGGTTGCAGTGAGCAGAGACTGCGCCATTGCTCTGCAGCCTGAGCAACAAGAGTGAAACTTCGTTTCAAAAAAAAAAAAAAGAAATTAGTCCACTTACCTTTTTAAGGTTCTATTTCAAACGGTGCCCACTTCCCTTCCCAGATAACTTATCCATTAGGCACAATAGGTACGATGCTGAGGGGCCATAAAACTTTTAGGAGCACACAAAAATGTTGAATTTTTTCCAAAATCCAAAGGGGAAAAATGAACTTTCCCATGGCATATTAATATGTTAATCATATAGCAATGCAGATGTAAAATGTACTTTCTATTTATTATTTGTATAAAAGGAAGTACTTCAAAGGCAAAAGTGCCTGGAGCTTAGAAAGTTCAGTGTGCCCCTCCCCTGTCCCTCCAGTTTTGTGGCCCTCTGCAAGTCCCCATTCTGAGAGTAAACAGTTCCCTCTGGGCTCCTGTCTTTCTTCCAGCCTGTCCTGATGCCCCTAGCACCTAGCTAGGTGTCCTCACCAGGGCCTACAAGGAGACCACCAGGTGAGAGGGATCTCCTCCCTCCTTTCTCCTTTACCTGCCTTTTTCCTAGGAACCTCTACTCCCCAGTTTCCACCCTTATCCCCCCTATTTATCCTTCCTTCCTTCCCTCCCTCCCTCTTTCGACAAGACATTACTGTCACCCAGGCTGAAGTGCAATCGTGCGATCTCGGCTCACTGCATTGTCTACCTCCTGGGTTCAAGTGATTCTCCTGCCTCAGCTTCCCGAGTAGCTGGGAGTGCAGGTGCGTGCCACCACGCCTGGCTAATTTTTGTATGTTTCGTACAGATGGGGTTTCACCATGTTGTCCAGGTTGGTCTCGAATTCCTGACCTTAGGCAATCCACGCACCTCGGCCTGCCAAAGTGCTGGGATTTCAGGCACGAGCCACTGCTCCCAGCCTCCTCTCCCCCATTTTCTAGAGTGGCCCACATGTTTGAGACCCTCTGGCTTTCAAGCCCGTGTTCTCCCTCCTCCTCAACGTAACCATATGTTTACTTCTCACCTTCAGTCTGTATTTCCAGGAGAGTTCTAAATAGTAGAATCGTGCTGTCTTGTTTATAACAAAGCCACCTATATTAGGAAAGGGGGGTTGTGGGGCAGAAAGAAAAATATTTCCATACGCTTATTATTTGTCAGATAGTTTTCTTAATATTGTGAGCTACCTTTTAACTTTCTTGAAAGTCAAATCTTGGATGTTTTTATTGTTAGAGAAATAATACCAACTTCATGAAACGGCGAGCCCTGTTAGCACCATTGTCGCAGAAAGACCGTGTTTCTAACTGTCACAGTTCCTAAGCAAGTAACTTCCTACTTCATTACATTCATAGACTTACATCATTCTCTACCTCAAATACAGAAAATCATATAAAATGAGAAGGTGAGACATTTGTGATTAGTGTTGTTTGGTAACTGAACCCATTTCTTTTTTTTTTTTTGAGATGGGCGTCTTACCCAGGCTGGAGTGCAGTGATCTGATCTCAGCTCACTGCAACCTCCGCTTCCCAGGTACAAGCAATCTTCCCGCCTCGGCCTCCTGAGTAGCTGGGACCACAGGTGCAAGCCACCACGCCCGCTAATTTTCATTTTTGTTTTTGTTTTTTTCCTTGGTAGAAGGATTTTGCCGTGTGGCACAGGCTGGTTTTGAACTCCTGGCCTCAAGCCATCTGCCTGCCTTGGCCTCCCAGGGTGCTGGGATTATAGGCATGAGCCACCACGCCTGGCTGAACCCATTTCTTTGGTGGTTTTCTGATGGGTTTGTTTCATCGTATGTGGTTAGATCCTGTTTCCAGGCAGTATTATTATTCCCCTGGTGCCCCTTTGCGCCCCTCTCACTGTAATCACTGATTGACTGCTCTTGGATGTTCTAAAGTCCCAATTAATCACTGCCACTACCTCACCCACAGGCCGTAGAATGCCCAGAGTGAGAGGGAGGCACGCTCAGAGGCCTCTGGTGGCCAGGAGGGGTGTGCAAATGTGCAGACACTGCTTGGACAGTGGGGACTGGAGGAGCAGGACATGCTCTATCGGGGGCGGCTGGCTCTTCAGCTGCAGCTCGTTGTCATATTACTTAGGAGTCTCGGTTCATGATGCCAGTTCTTTGATTTTTTTAAGAGAGCCAGAAATCTAGATTTCTACGTGAATTTTCTCGTTTAAAAAAAGTGTATAAACTTTAAAACAAGTTTGTAAACTTGATGTAAGTTAAGTTTACAAAACACGTAGCCATATGGCCTCTAGACTAATGAAGAGTCCAGAGGCTGCATGGCGTTTAGTCCAGAGGCCGTATGGCTGCGTGTTTTGTTTGGCTAACAAGATGTTTTGTAAACTTATATCAAGTTTGTTTAAGTTTAGCCCAGCTCTGAGCTAACCTGGGCCCACTGCCCTCAGGTTTGGCAGAGCTGGGGGATTCCTTTCCTTGGGGCTGTAGCTGTGGTAAGCTTACAGAGGAAACTGTTGAGCAGACAACTAAGTGTCTCAAATCATTCCACTTTTTTTCCTCCCTCCCTCCCTCCCTCCTGTCCTCCCTCTTTCTTTCATCTTGCTCTGTCACCCAGGCTAGAGTACGGTGATTAAATCTTGGCTCGCTGCATTCTCCATCTCCCGGGTTCGAGAGATCCTCCCACCTCAGCCTCCCCAGTAGCTGGGACTACAGGCACATTCCACAATACCAACTAATTTTTGTATTTTTAGTAGAGACAAGGTCTAAACATGTTGATCATGCTGGTCTCATACTCCTGACCTCAGGTGATCCACCTGCCTTGGCCTCCCAAAGTGCTGGGATTATAAGTGTGAGCCACCACACCTGACCAAATCATCCCACTTTCTATTCATCCTTTTTTAATTGTAAAATTCTATGTTTTAAAAATTATTATACTTTAAGTTCTGGGGTACATGTGCAGATCATGCAGGATACATAGGTATTCACATGCCATGGTGGTTTGCCGCATCCATCACCCCATCTACGTGAGGTATTTCTCCTAATGCTATCCCTCCCCAGTCTCCACCCCCTGCTATGCCTTCCCTAGCTCCCTCATGCCCTACCAGGCCCTGGTGTGTGTTGTTCCCCTCCCTGTGTCCGTGTGTTCTCATTGTGTAGCACCCATTTATGAGTTGAGAACATGCAGTGTTTGGTTTAGTGTTCTTGTGTCAGTTTGCTGAGAATGATGGTTTCCAGCTTCATCCATGTCCCTGCAAAGGATATGAACTCATCCTTTTTTATGGCTGCATAGTATTCCATGGTGTATATGTGCCAGATTTTCTTTCCTTTCATTTGGCTAACCTGAGAGCGAATACCATTTCATCCCACTCTTTTAGGAGTGCATCTCTTGCTTTTAATGTAAACTATACATAATTTGTGTTGGAAGATTACCGTTCGTTCCATGAAGAGCTGAATTTTCCCCATGGATTAAGTACAGCTGGCTACCTCATGATCTGTCCTGAGCTTAACATATTCTAAACCCTGACTCTTGGCCCTAAATCTGCCCCCTTCCTTCCACCTCCCAAGTGCAATTGGCATCTTTGCTTGCACTGCAGGAATCTGACCTGGCCACGGGCTCTGGATAAGCCTATTAGAATAGCCAGAGGTAGAGACCAGGAGTGGCTGCTCTTGTGTAATCCCCATTCAAGTGTCAGTATCTGTTGCCAAATACTGAAAGAGAAGCCAGTTCCATCTGATCACCATAGAAGCTTTCCCAGCACTTGTGGCTTGGGAGGCAGAGGAAGCAGGACAGCCTGATGAATGCCAGAAAGGATGCGTGAGAGATCCACCCTCATAAGGTGAGGTGCTCCAGTATGTTGACTCTATGCACAGGTGAGCCTTTTTATAGAAAGCAAAATATATCTGGAGATGGCTTTACTTGCATCTCTACAGAAATTTCATGTTAAAATGAAATTCAGGGGAAAAAAAACCTCTGTCAGAAGATGCAGCGCTTCCGGCCTAAGGCTTTCCAGATCTCAGTGTACCCCCTCCCCCCACCCACCCCCCAGGAGTACAGTTTGTTTGCTGTTCTGGTGGAGTTAAACAGTAGTTGAACAGTTGACTTCGTTGGAAAACGATAGGATTTTGAAATGAGACTTGCTTTCCTCTGTCAGTGACCTGCTTAGAGAGAAGCAGCGGATCCTGCCTGGATTTCGGAGTCACGGTGCTGCTGCGGCTCTCAGCATTCCCACGTCACCAGAGGAGCCTGTGGGGAAGGAGAGCATGTCTGCCTTCAGGTTGTGGCCAGGCCTGCTGATCCTGCTGGGTTCCCTCTGCCGTAGAGGTTCATCGTGTGGCATTTCAACGCACGTAGAAATAGGTAAGTACTGGTGCCTTGTTGTGTTACTGAGGGGACAGTAAATCTGTGAAAAGATGTTAAGAGATTGAAAATCCAGCCAGTGGATGAATACCGTTTCCCCCATGACTGAGCTGAGTGGCCTGACAGCAGGGAGGAGAAGGCAGTGACTGCAGTCATGCAGGGATAGAGATTGGCAGCATGGCTTCAGTTAGGGGGCAAATAAAGAGCTGATGCCCTGTTGGTCACAGGGCCCCCGCATGTTTCTGTGGGTGGGGAAATAGCAGCTCCGTAAACCAGAGGTTGCAACGCAGCGGCAGGACTGGCAGAACGGGGGAGGAACAGGATGGGTGCAATATGGCAAGAGTGAGGAATGTACTTTTGTGGTTTTACATGTCCAAGGACAGCCATTTCCAAGTACATGTAAAGAGCCACGTGTGGCCATGGCAGTGGGTCCCTCGAGTCACATTGCCGTAAAGGCGCTTGGCGTCAGGAAGGTCAGGGAGGTGAGGGAGTTCGGTCATCCACGTTCATGGTGCCGAAGATGGCAGGAGTTGGGGAGGAGAGGGGGACACCAAGCCAGTGCCACTGACCTCAGGGGAAAAGGCAGAGTCATCCTGGATATAGGGAGATGGTACCACAAAGAGTCATTTAAAATTTTTATTTTTCCAGCTTTATTGATGTGTAATTGACAGAAATTGGTGATACACGTATGCCTTGTGAAATGATTAGCTCCATCAAGTTAATGCATCCATCACCTGACGTAGCTATCGTGTTTTGCATATGGGATGAGAATACTTAAGATCTTTCTTAGCAAAAGGATTTGGATCTTGTAGGAAGTGTATTTGTGATGTTTTAACACATGAAAGGGTGAGACAATTTGTAATAGAATGAGCTATGATGACATTCTACAGCAATTTTCAGATTAATTTCAGATATGCCTGATGTTCTGAGTTTTCTTTAATTTAGATAAAAATAAGAGAATTTTATAGCTATACCATCTCCTGAAGTTTCAAAGAATAAGATTATAGGCAAAATATGAAAATGTATCAGTGTAAAATAGACCTATATACTGAGCTATGATAGTTGAGAACCTGTTACAACAGAACTTGACTATCTGAAAGGACACTAGAGGTCACCAAGTCCAGTTCTTTTCTGTTACAGATGAAGAAACAGCTACTACGCAGCTTTATAGCTCACTTGTTAGTGGCCTGGCCTAGAGTTACACGTCCTGACGGCTGGTCTCGTGCTCTTTCCGTTAAAAATGTGTTGCTGGAAGGGAGCCGTGAAACAGTAGAAAGGAGAACCAGACTTAGGTCTCATTCCAGCCCTGCAGTAGGCAGATATGTGACCGAGCAATTCACTTTACCTGCCTCTCGAGTCTATAAAATGAGGGGTTAAACTTCTCGAATTCTGAAGTGTCTTCTAGTTCTCTGTTCGTCGAAGTTGAAATTGCCAGAACTACAGGGTGAGCTGATAAGGAACAAATATAAATGGAAATATTCAGGTTTTTCATTCTTAGAGTTTAAAAATTTTCAAGACGGATTGCATCTGAAATTTGAATAAAACCAGATAATTGCTTGCTTTCCTTGAGTAAGTACCAAACAAAGGTCTTAATGGATATTTAAAGAATAATATTTATGTGAACATAATTGATGGCAACTCCTGAAATAGAATCTGTACAGATTGAGAATTTTTTTTTACATGGAAGACTAAAACTCCATTCTAATAAATTACATGATTTTATAAATATTTTGGTTTACTTTTTCATTTCTTATAAAGAGCCTGAGTGGAAAGTTGGCATTATCTGAGTGAATTAATTAGAAATGGCTCCATTCAGCATAAATCACTGGAATCCTATACACAGGTTATTTGTATTTGGGGGTTGTGATTTTTATGATATTAATGTTTACAGTGGTGGCTATGTTTTTTTGTTATATGAATTTTAAACATTGGAGATGATTCACAACATAAATAAGGTATTACCTTCAAATGTCACTTCACAGGGAATGTTAGTCCTCTTACTCATTCTTGGGAGATTCAGGCTATGGGTGGGTGTCTGTATATAGGTGGGTGTAGGGTGGAGTCAGTAGCCTTCTGATACTATTTTGTTCTTCCAAAGTGATCCAGTGATGAAAAACCTTGGAGGATCATTGGTTCCGTCCATAGGTTAGGTGTTACATTGTATTTTGTACTTAGATTTATCTACCTCAGTACTGAAGCGAAATATGATGACAGTTTCTTGAGTTCCTACCAAGTGACAGCCAGTGTGCTTGTCACTTAGCATTTATTTTCTGTCACTTACCAGTTACTATTTCAACCAACCTATGGGGTTGGTATTTTTTTTTTTTTTTTTTTTTTTTTTTTTGAGATGGAGTTTCGCTCTTGTTACCCAGGCTGGAGTGCAACGGCGCGATCTTGGCTCACCGCAACCTCTGCCTCCTGGGTTCAGGCAATTCTCCTGCCTCAGCCTCCTGAGGAGCTGGGATTACAGGCACGCGCCACCATGCCCAGCTTTTTTTTTTTTTTTTTTTGTATCTTTAGTAGAAACGGGGTTTCACCATGTTGACCAAGATGGTCTCGACCTCTTGACCTCGTGATCCACCCGCTTCGGCCTCCCAAAGTGCTGGGTTTACAGGCTTGAGCCACCGCGCCCGGCAGCATGGTGGGTATTTTTTAACCTCGGTTTTCTGTAGGAGGGAACTGAGGTCTAGAGAGGTTGAATAGCACGAAAGGTCATAGAGCTATTTAATAGTTAAGCAGAAACCAAATCACCGTCTAAACTTGCTTTGTACTATGTAAATACTGCACACATCTGATTATACCTAATGTAGATTGCCAGTGGGTGCAAACTTGTTTCATTTCCTATATCCTTGACAGATACAACCACAAAATTACGTATTTTTCTTTTAAAATTATCTTGACTAATTCCATTTTCAGTAATACTCAAACTTAATTGATTTATGTATTTATTTCTCTCAGGACACAGAGCGCTGGAGTTTCTTCAGCTTCACAATGGGCGTGTTAACTACAAACAGGTAGAAATCTTGATTGTTCTTTTTTTGTGTATTAGCTTTCTTCTGTAGGTGCCAAACAAGGTCCTAACAGATATTTAAACGGTAATTTTAAGACTCATTTTGGCTGGCGCAGTGGCTCACCCCTGTTACTGCAGCACTTTGGGAGGCCAAGGCAGGTGGATCACCTCAGGTCAGGAGTTCGAGACTAGCCTGGCCAGCGTGGAGAAACCCCGTCTCTACTAAAAATACAAAATTAGCTGGGCATAGTGGTGCTTGCCGATAATTCCAGCTACTCAGGAGACTGAGGCAGGAGAATCGCTTGAACCCAGTGATTCCATTCAATTGCAGTGAGCTGAGATCGCACCATTGCCCTCCAGCCTGGGCAACAAGACTGAAACTCCATCTCAAAAAAAAAAAGACTCATTTTTAATTTCTTCAGGTTATTAATGTTATGAGACATTAATATTATGGTGGAAAGGTATATGTCTACTCCAAGTGCTCCTTGAACAAAATTTATATGTATCTTATATGTAGCACACTTAAAATTTAAAGATTTGGTGATATGAATCGTAACTTGAAAAAAATACTTGAATTTTAAAAATAGTACATTTTAAAAAATTTACTCATCTTCTCCGTATCATTAGAATTTTAGTATGTGCTGCTGAGGAGAGTACATCTGTTTTGTCTTAATTGTAGAGACGGGGGTCTCACTAGGTTGCTCAGGCTGGTCTTGGACTCCTGGGCTCAAGCAATCCTCCCACCTTGGGTTCCCAAAGCACTGAGATTATAGGCATGAGCCTCTCTGCCTTGCCTATCTCTTTTGTTTTCATAAAAAAAGCCATAATTGATGAGAGATCATTTATTTTCCACTTCTTGTTACTGTGTGTTGCTCACAAATTGCATCACCGGGGGAGAAGGAAGTATTTATTAAGAATAGGCACTGAGCACTTTGGGAGGCCGAGGTGGGTGAATCACAAGGTCAAGAGATCGAGACCATCCTGGTCAACATGGTGAAACCCGTCTCTACTAAAAATATTTAAAAAATTAGCTGGGCGTGGTGGCGCGTGCCTGTGATCCCAGCTACTCAGGAGGCTGAGATACGAGAATTGCCTGAACCCAGGAGGCAGAGGTTGCGGTGAGCCGAGATCGTGCCATTGCACTCCAGCCTGGGTAACAAGAGCACAACTCCATTTCAAAAAAAAAAAAAAAAAATAGGCACTGGCATTCTCTGTCCGACTTCTTTGTTCTACTGTATCCGAGTAGGACTAGCTCATGACTCACCTTTACCCATCTTCCCGTGGACACATTCTGATCCTGTGCACTATTTGTTCTATAGCTAAGTAATACTTTGTGACAAAGATGTCATTCTTTCATACCTACATTTGTAAGTGGTTAGCCTCCTTCCCGACATCAGAATTGGATCATTTGATAACATTGTCTTGATAATCCATTTGGGAAGCAGCATGGTGAGATAACTGAAACTTACCGTGTCCTCAAATCATTTTTAGTCGTAAGATTCCGCTTCCTCACTCGTCAACTTAACAGGTCAGATGAGGAAAACCAGCATTGACATCTGATAGTCATCATCTTCCACCTTAACAGGGAGTAGGCAGGAAAGAGGAGGAGAAGCGAGAATCTGCCTAACTCATCACATCAGCAGTCAATCCTGAGCGTGTGCAGAGTGATTGCTGGTAGAGGTATTCAAGCTCATATTAATTTAAAACATGTTAAATGGACACAGACGCTCCCTCTCAGGATGCATTCTAATGCAAATAATAATGTCATCCTCAGAAATAGGCCGGACATGAAGGGTCATGCCTGTGATCCCAGCACTTTGGGAGGCCAAGGCAGGTGGATCACTTGCGGTCAGGAGTTCGAGACCAGCCTGACCAACATGGTGAAACCCTGTCTCCACTAAAAATATAAAAATTAGCTGGGCATGGTAGCAGACACCTGGAGTGTCACTGCAGCAGAGGCTGCAGTGAGCCAATATTGCACCACTGTACTCCAGCTTGGGTGACAGAACAAGACTCTGTCTCAAAAATAAATACTAAAATAATTAAACCGTGGGACCAGATTCTTGGAGGCTGAGGCAGGAGAATTGTTTGAACCTGGGAGGCGGAGGCTGCAGCGAGCTGAGATTATGCCAGTGCACTCCAGCTTGGGCAACAGAGTGAGGCATTGCCTCAAAAAACAACAAACATTAGGTGGGCATGGTGGTGTGCCCCTGTAATCTTAGCTGCTCAGAAGGCTGAGGCAGGAGAATTGATTGAACCTGAAAGGCAGAGGCCGCAGTGAGTCAAGATTGCACCACAGCACTCCAGCCTGGGCGTCAGAACAAGACTCTGTTTCAAAAATAAATAAATAAAATTAAATAATTAAACCATAAGTTCACATGAAATACCAATTATAATCCAACACTTTAGGATTTACTCTAGCCTTCACCATGTCCATATCTTTAACTCCTTTCTCTAACGCTGAGAAACCTGGCTCCCATTATTCTCCATATCTTTATATGCTCAGTCTCCTTATATGTAATCAATTTCTTCTTTTTTTTTTCCTTTTTTTTTTTTTTTTTTTTTTTTTGAGGTGGGATACTGCTATGTTGCCTAAGATGGTCTTGAACTCCTGGACTCAAGTGATCCTTCTGCTTCAGCCTTTTGAGTAGCTGGGATTGCAGGCATGGGCCACCAATTTCTTGATGATGCTTAGCAAATCCCCTTAGCCTGATGTGGCCAGATGAATCCCCTTGGCCCAGAAATGAATTAAAAAATAAAACTAAATATATGCCAGACACATGAAGATACGCTGTAAATGACATGGGAAGGGTCCAAATTCTTAATTGCTCATGTATTTCATTAACATTTTTGAAGCAACTTCAGATTTGGAAGCAGTTTTGCTTTTAGGGCTTAATTTTTATTCATTTTCTTCTCTGGCAAGACAGGGTCTTGCTCTATTACCCAGGATGGGGTGCAGTGGCATGATTTCGGCTCATTGCAGCCTCCACCTCCCAGGTTCAAGCAATCCTCCCACCTCAGCCTCCTGAGTAGCTGGGACCACAGGTGCATGCCACCACATCCAGCTGATTTTTTTGTATTTTTGATAGAAACGGGGTTTCAGCATGGTGCCCAGGCTGGTCTCGAACTCCTGAGCTCAAGTGATCTGCCTGCCTCAGCCTCCCAAAGTGCTGGCATTGCAGGCATTACAGAGCCACTGTACCTGGCCTTTACTTATTTTCATTTCTGTCAATTTGGTAGGTATAAAATGACTTTTGTTTTAGGTTTAATTGGCATTTTAATTTTTTATTTTTTTTTGAGACTGGGTCTGGCTCTGTCACCCAGGCTGGATTGCAGTGGTATGATCTCAACTCACTGTAACTTCCACCTCCCAGGTTCAAGTGATCCTCTCAACTCAGCCTCCTGAGTAGCTAGGACTATAGGAACACACCACCACACCAGGCTAATTTTTATATTTTTTGTAGAGACAGCATTTCACTATGTTGCCCAGGCTGGTCTCAAACTCTTGGACTCAAGCAATCTTTTTGCCTTGACCCCCTAAGTGGTAGGATTACAGGCATGAGTATCATGCCTGACCTGGCATTTTAATTATTAGCTTATTAATGAGTTTAAATATATTCTCAAGTATTTACTGGCCATTTCTATCCCCTCTGTGAATTGCCTGTCTTTTGCTAATTTTAGTATTACAATATTTATCTTTATTTTGACCTGTAAGAATAGCTTATTTACGAACGATATTAGCCCTCAGTCTAGGAAATAATTCTCATGGCTATTTATTTTTCTTTTAAATTTATTTTTTATTTATTTATTTTTTACCATGGAGAAATGTTCGGTTTTTGAGTAGTTAAGTGCGTCAGTCTTTTCTGTTACGGTTTCTACTTGTAAATGATGCTTAGAAAAATCATTCCCACTTCACGGATATATAATTCACTTAAATTTTATTCTGTTAATTTTATGACTTCATTTTTGACACTTAACCTTATAATTCATCTTTCATTTATTCGGGTATAAAGGTTGACAGGGATCCAGTGACTTGCCATTGCTAATTTCAAGTCAGTATCACCTAGGGCAGTGGTCTCCATGTGTTTTGACAGCAGGGACTGGTTTTGTGGAAGACAGTTTTTCTCTGGGATAATAGGGGCATGAGCCACTGTGCCTGGCATTTCTATACTCTATTCTGCTTCCCTGATCTGTTTCTTTTGGTTTCAGTATCATACTATTTTTGTTTCTATAGCTTAAAAAATTTTTTTTTTTTTTGGGATAGGTTCTCACTCTGTCACCAGACTGGAGTGCAGTGGCATGATCTCAGTTCACTGCAACCTCCATCTTCCGAGTTCAAGCTTTCCTTCTGCCTCAGCCACCTGAATAGCTGGGATTACAAGCATGTGCCACCATGCCGCACTAATTTTTCTATTTTCAGTAGAGTCGGAGTTTCACCATGTTTCCTAGGCTGGTCTCGAACTCCTGACTGCAGGTGATCCACTTCTGCTTCTCAAAGTGCTGGGATAATAGGGGCATGAGCCATTGCGCCCGGCCTTTCTGTACTCTTTATTCTGCTTCCCTGATCTGTTTCTTTTGGTTTCAGTATCATACTATTTTTGTTTCTATAGCTTAAAAATATTTATTTATTTTTTTTTTTGAGATAGGTTCTCACTCTGTCACCCAGACTGGAGTGCAGTGGCATGATCTCAGTTCACTGCAACCTCCATCTCCCAAGTTCAAGCTTTTCTTCTGCCTCAGCCACCTGAATAGCTGGGATTACAGGCGTGTGCCACCATGCCCCACTAATTTTTCTATTTTCAATAGAGTTGAAGTTTCACCGTGTTTCCTAGGCTGGTCTCAAACCCCTGATCTCCAGTGATCCACCTGCCTCCGCCCCTCAAAGCTCTGCGCCTGGCCTTTCTGTGCTTTTTGTTCTGTTACATTGATCTGTTTCTTTTGGTTTCAGTGTCTTTGGTTTCTATAGCTTAAAAAGACATTTTTCTTTCTTTTTTTTTTTGGATATAGGGTCTCACCCTGTTGCCCAGGCTGGAGTGCACTGGCATGATCTTGGCTCACTGCATCCTCAACTTCCTAGACTCAAGTGATCCTCCCACCTCAGCCTCCCAAGTAGCTGAGACCTATAGGCAAGCACTACCATGCCTGGTAAATTTTTTAATTTTTTGTAGAGTCAGGGTCCTGCCATGGTGCCCAGGCTGGTCTTGAACTCCTGGGCTGAAGCAATCAGCTGGCCTCAGCCTCCCAAAGTGCTGGAATTGTAGGTATGAGCCACCTCGCCCAGCCAAAAATATATTTTTGGTGGATCACCTGATATCTGGAGTTCAAGACCACCCCAGCCAACATGGCAAACCTTGTCTCTTCTAAAAAATACAAAAATTAGCCAGTACAGTTGCTCACACCTATTATCCCAGCACTTTGGGAGGCTGAGGCGGGTAGAACACCTGAGGTCAGGAGTTCGAGACCAGCCTGGCCAACCTGGTGAAACCCCATTTCTACTAAAAATAAAAAAATTAGCTGGGCCTGGTGGCAGGCACCTGTAATCCCACCTGTCAGGAGGCTGAGGCAGGAGAATCACTTGAATCTGGGAAGTGGAGGTTGCAGTGAGCCGAGATCACACCACTGCAGCACAGGCTGGTGACAGAGCAAGACTCCATTTCAAAAAATAAAATCCAAAAGTATATTTTTATATCTGAAGGATACATCCTTCCTTAGTCTTCCTCTTTATTCCCTGGCAGTTTGGTATTTGGCATACTTTTCAAAATTTACTTGAGATTATTTTATCACATTAGATAACATACCTATCTAACTGGGAGAAGCAGATTTAACAAGTATTAATACGTATAAGGAGCTTAGAACAGTGGCTGTTAAGTAAATAGCCAGGGAGATTAATTACTGTTTTTCAGTGACAGAAGTCCAGCTCAAGCTATCTTCTGGAAAAAAGTGGACTTCATAGGTTCATATAACTGATACCTACAGTGTGGAACTCGGCCCAGAGCTCTGGATGGTTTCTGTATTTCTCCACATGGAGGATGCTGATTGCTTAGGACTCTGCCTCAGAGCTCAGCAGCTACAGGAGGAAGAGAGTATCTTCCCAGAGCTCTAGCGGAGAAGTCTCGGGGAAGGTGTGAACTGAATTAACTTTGCTCAAAGGTCAATTTCTGAGTCAAATTCTGGTGAGGGTGGGTGTGCTGGCCACTTGGCCCTCTGGTCAGCCCTACCTGAGTGGTGTGGAATGGGCTCTGCAGGAGAGGGTGATTCTGCCTCTAGAAGGAGGACAATGGGATGCTGGTTAGAAAAAGAGCAGATGATACTATCATTCCTTGTGTATTAATTTCTTGAAGTACTTCTTTGTTGCCTCTCTATATGGTCCACATTATTAAGTTCTTATTTTAAAAAAAATGGGGTGGGGCAAGGTGGCTCACACCAGTAATCCCAGCACTTTGGGAGGCTGAGGTGGGTGGATCACAAGGTTAGGGGTTTGAGACCAGCCTGACCAACATGGTGAAACCCATCTCTACTGAAAATACAAAAAAAAATTTAGCTGGGCATGGTGGCATGCACCTTTAATCCCAGCTACTCAGGAGGCTGAGGCAGGAGAATTGCTTGAACCCTGGAGGCAAGCAATTGCAAGTTTCAGTGAACTGAGATCATGCCGCTGCATTCCAGCCTAGGTAACAGAATAGGACTCTGTCTCAAAAAAAAAAAAAAAAAAAAAAAGCCAGGGGGAGGGATATTACCAGACTTTTACTGCCTAGTGTATCTATCAGAGTTCATTTGCAGATCATGGAAACCTCTCTGCTAGTTTAGGCAAGGAAGGGATTAATACCAAGAATTAGAGAATTCACTGCTTACAGACTGTGGGAACTGCAGGAGCAGGCTCTAGACCAGGTGCTCAGAAAAGACTGCCAAAATCATGCACAGAACTGGCTTTCAAGGAGAAGCTACTCATGCCACTGACAGTCACTGCCCCGTTTGCTAGCTACAAATCCAACTGTCTCATCCACGGTTTGTAACAGAAGCAGCCACCACCTCACCTGTTGGTCCTGGGACCTCATCACCACCTTAGGCACCTGCCTTACTAACAGTGTAGTTGCCCTGTACTCTGCCTGTAAAGAGGTGGGAAGCCACAGCTGCAACACGGGGGGGGGGGGGGGTGGTACCTCTGCTGCAGAAAAACCAAATGCTTCCATGTCAGCCTTGGGCTCCATGGTGGAGGCTGGGCCATATCAGACTGAACTGAGACAGCCTGGGAAATGTGGTCTGTGTTTTCTAGCCTCTGGCATGCAGCTAGACATCCTATAAGGGATTCAGAATGAAAGGAAGTGAGCCAGTTGAACAAGGAAGAACACTGAAAAGAAAATCACTACCATCTCCTTTCACATCATTTTTAAAAAGAAAGGACTTTTTTTTTCTTTTGACTCACAAAACACACAGCTCAGGTATGTGTCTGTGTGTGTGTGAATTTTTCTCTTTTTCACTGTGAATCGTTGAAAATTTTATAAAAACCAGCTCTGGGCCAGGCATGGTGGCTCACACCTGTAATCCCAGCACTTGGGAAGGCAGAAATCGGTGGGTCACCTGAGGTCAGGAGTTCAAGATTGGCCTGGCCAACATGGTGAAACCCATCTCTACTAAAAATTAAAAAAAATTAGTCGGGCACACCTGTTGTCCCTGGAGGCAGGAGAATTGCTTAAACCTGGGAGGCGGAGGTTGCAGTGAGCCGAGATTGCCCCATTGCGCCCTCCAGCCTGGGCGAAACTGCATCTCAAGAAAACAAACAGCAACAAGAAAGACAGCTCTGGGTCAGTCAAACAACCTTAAGGCCTTTGGGAAATCCCACTTTACTGGATTGACAGAGAAAATAAAATGAAATTTAAGTAAGTGATTTCTGCTATTTTTCAATTAGGCTTTCCGTGTTTGGTAGGGAAGAACCTGAAGTTATGTTTAGTTGTGTGTTATCTTGATTGTGCGTGAATTTTAATCGTTTATTACTTTATGCCTGCTTTTCTTCTTTTTCCCTTTGATTCCATCCATACACCCACAGTTCTAGCATCTCATTGTCGGAAACTGGTGGGGCCTGCACTCCCCAGGCTGTTGACTTCTACCCCCTAATCTCTGTTTTTCTGCTCTGCAGCTGGTACTAGAACACCAGGATGCCTATCAGGCTGGAACCGTGTTTCCTGATTGCTTTTACCCTGGCATCTGCAAAGGAGGTAAGGAAGGTTTGCGGACTAAATAACATCACTTTTACTTTGTTAATAGGAATAGCTGTGACTTAAAATATATATGTGCATTATGTATTTTTAATTGCGAGTATATTTTCCATTATTGTTGGTTAATGACTTCGTTTACATAGTTGCATTTTCCATTTAGCTAAAACTGACCTGCTTAAGCATAGAAATTCTGGAAACTTTATTTTTCGGGAAAAACCTAAGTGGCATAATAGACATTTTGCAAGAGATCAAAAGGTCTGAGTTTGTGTTTCTTCTATATTAGCATGTGACCTTGAAAAAGTCGCTTATGCACAGAATCCCAATTTTCATGTCTTGGCAAAGACGATGCCTGCCCTGCCTCTTCGCTGGATTGTCCTTGTCATTAATGCGCAGTATTTTGTCAAGTGTTATGCAAATCTCAGATAGTGTTATCTGTGAGAGTTAGAGAGGAAAGAAACATGAAGAGAGGCTTAACAGTCAAAGACAGATTTATTTTGAAGAAATAAAACTGAGAGGGGCTTCTGGCTGATTTTGGTGGGGAGTACACTCTCTCTCAGTGTGCTAACCTTCCCTGTGTTAGCCAGACAGACTCCATCTTGACCTCTGCCTCACCCCTCCTGCCACTCCTCCCTTGAGTGCATACCTGGGTCTTGCTACTGTGCTGGGTCATGCTGTACTTAGAACTATCAAAACGTAAAACCTTTGTAACCATAGCCTGCTTGGTAAGCCCACTTGCCATTGTGAATGCCCCCCCTTGATTGATTATATGACAAGTACCGAATACCCTCCTCGGTATCTCCGCCATCATGGGAACCACTTGTGTATACCCTCTTTGAAAAATTAACAATCATGAGAACCTCCTGCCTCCTAGTTACCAGCCTCCTTATTCTAACGTGCTTGTTCTGCTTCTGTAAACTCTGCTCCAGCTAGGCTCTCCCTCCCCTACCTTAAGCAAGGTATAAAAAATAAGCCCCTTCCTTGGGCCGAGGGAATTTTGAGCCTTAGCCGTCTCTTGGTAACCGGCTAATTAATAAGGGGCTCTCAGTTTGAAACTGAGAGCATGGCACTGTTCCATCTAACTCACCTGGGTATGACAACAGACTGAAAGTATTTATTGGTGACAGCTTGGAGTGTTTCTGTGTGGGGCAGAAGTTTATGGTGGGGTTAAAATGTCTGGTCAGAGGGAAAGTTACCTTGGGGCTGAACACCTCTCTGGCTGGAGGGGAGGTTATCTCGGGGCTGGCAGGTCTCTGGTTGGGTGGGGCGTTTGGAATGTTTCTGGTTGGAGATGTTGGTGGTTTGTGGTTATGCTGACCCTACCCATTAGGCTGATGCCCTTTGGATTTAGGCAGTTTTTGGTCAAGATGAACTTAAAATGGCAGTGCTTGTCCAAGTTGACGATGCTTCCACTCTGTCATCCGTAAATTAGCTTCATGGGTTGTATCAGTCCAGGCCCCAGCAGGACCCGGAAGTTACACTCAAACTGAGTAATTCAAGAGGAGCTTAGTAAGGGCACCGTTTTCAAAGATAGGGACAGGAGGCGAGGAATTGGAAAAGATAGTTCAGGGGAGGGAGCGATGACTGGAACCATGGAGAGAGAGCGGCATGAAGAGCACTTGACGAGAGCTGGGCCTTCAGCTCAGTGGCATAGCCAGTCCACTGTGACTCCACGTGAGGGAAGCTGGGAGAATAAATATCCCAACTTCTGTGTCTTCTTTTTCTCTGATCTGTCAGTTCTGTTTATCAACCAAACCCAACCCAGGGGCCAAGAAGCCAGTTGTAGCAGGTGACCTCAGAGTCACCCTACAGGGTAGGGAAGGGTGGGGAGTAGGTCTAGAAGGACCGATGGAGGCCCCCAGCACACTGGGTCCTCATATAAACTGTTTTTGAGTCTTGGGTCATCTGCTGTCACCCCATTCCTTTAATTCAGTCATTCATTTGAGGCTGAAATGAACTGTTTGGGGCTACTCACTCCTGTAGTTAGAATCCCAGACAGCTAAGCGTTTGTATTTCTCATATTTATAAGTTTTGTTCTGTTTCCCTCTTAGTCTCGTAACTATCATTTCTCAATCCTGTTATTTCGCCTGAATGTTATAGTTCTTCTTTCTAGCGTGTTGTTTCTAATTTAGCCCTTCCCAAACTGTATTCATGGGTACGCTACTGTCCTTCAATAGCTTCTACAAACAAGCCAGAAGAAAGGATATTTTTGTCCATTCGGTTTGAGAAGTGTTGCTTAATGTGCACCATTTTTAGAGACAGACAACACACATAGTAGGAAAGGTTCTGAGAGTGGAAAAGGGGTAATAACTGTTTCCCTAGCACTTTGCATTGTTTTCCAGCAGCAATAAATCCTCTTGTGTGGTGTCAAGATTGGGAATGGTATCTGACTAGTTACAGGGGATTTGTATACAAATTCCACGTAGGTTTTGATGCATTCTTCCAAATCTTACCTGCCTCATACATACCTAATTCAGCTGTAGTTTTCTTTTTCTTTTTGATAATTCACTTTTATTTTATCTTTCAAAGGCATTTAGCTTTTTTAGATACTTAATTGCCAAAGAAAAATATCCTTTTTTAAAAAAAAAAAAAGTATTTATATATTTTTTAGAGACAGGGTCTTGCCCCGTTGCCCAGGCTGGGGTACAGTGGTGCAGTCACAGCTCTTTATGGCCTTAAGCTTCTGACCTCAAGTGACCCTCCTGCCTCAGCCTTCTGAATAGCTGAGACTGTAATAGGTGTGTCCCACCATACCTGGTAATTTTTTATTTTTAACGTTTTTGTAGAGATGGGTCTTGCTATGTTGCTGAGGCTAGTCTCAAATTCCTGGCCTCAAGGGATCCTCCTACCTCAGCCTCCCAAAGTGCTGGCATTACAGGCGTGAACTACTGCACCCAGCAAAACTCTTCATTTGTATCAATTTACCTAATACTGAATTACCTTTTATAATTACAGTAACAAGGACATCTGGTTTAAACAGGATTAGAAGTGGGTCGGATTGACCCTTTTGTGAGCTATGGTGTAGACAGATAAGTTCAAGTCTCTAGGTGTGGCTTGCCAGCTGTCAGCCTTCAGCAGGCCCTGGGGGGACTTTATTTGCTTTCAGCCTGTAGGATTTACAGAGGGATGAGAAAGCTTCAGTTCGTCTGGCAATTTCTTTAAATTGAGGTTGTTCAAAAGACCTCCTGCTGTGTTTAATTCTGGAGTTTTGCTGTACTCTGGAGAACAAGAATTGTTTAAAGCTTTATCTCTAGGAAAACAGTTGGAGCAAATGCCTTGGTTCTAACTTAGTTGAAAATCATTGTCAGAAAAACAAGTGATTTCATATGGCTTTGGTATTGTCACTTTGGGAACGCCGTAGAAAAACGGAACCGAGGGATCTGAATTGTGTGGTTTTGCTTTTAGTTGTCCTTGTAACATTTGGCCCTCATGAGGCATTCGTGGCTCTCAGAGGTTTAGCACAGCAGCCAGTTAGGTCTTTGCTACCCCTCTTGTGGGGAAAAAAGAGCTATCTGGGACACCCACCGGCCCACTCCAACAATGCTTGCATAAAATACTCGGGCCTGTGCCATTTGACAATTATTATTATGAAATTAAGTGCTTGGGAGTATACGAAATATGTTTTGTTGTGCTAAGTAGGCTGACTGTGAGGGGCAAGGAAGACATTTTTTTAAACCCCCAAAATAAAACCAAACCCGCTTGTTTCCTTACCTTCAGAGCACAGAAATGGAAACAATTGTAGCCTCTATTCTAAGCCGGTGGCCGGCCTTGAGATACCGTGCCCAGTGTAGGCTCCGTCCCTCTTCCTGCAGTCCCCTTTAGTCATCAGGCCAACAGTACCATGCCTCTTCCAAAATCTCAGCTGGCTCTTCAGCTTTTTTTCTTTTCTTTCCTCTTTGCTTCGTTGTTTGAGGCAGAGTCTCACTCTGTAGCCCAGGCTGGAGTGCCTTGGTGTGATCTTGGCTCACTGCAACCTCTGCCTCCCGAGTCCCATTTCAAGCAATTCTGCCTCGGCCTCCCAAGTAGCTGGGATTACAGGCAGGTGCCACCATGCCCAGCTAGTTGTTGTATTTTTAGTAGAGACAGAGTTTAACCACGTTGGCCAGGCTGGTCTTGAACTCCTGGCAGCATGATCTACCTGCTCCGGCCTCCCAAACTGCTGGGATTACAGGCATGAGCCACCGAGCCTGGCCTATTTAAAGGCTTCTTCTGAATGTCCATAGAAGAAACTGAGGGGCAAGGAGGGAAAGAGAAGAAGGGACACAGCAGCGGGTGGTTGCGGAAAATAATTGGATTGACACTCTCCCAGTGGGTGGTTGTGGAAAATTGGATTGACATTCTCCAAGTTTTAAGAGAATCCAGAGTCCTGATTTTTGTTTTGTCAGGAAAATTCCATGATGTGTCTGAGAGTACTCACTGGACTCCGTTTCTCAATGCAAGCATTCATTATATCCGAGAGAACTATCCTCTTCCCTGGGAGAAGGTAGGCGTGGTCCTCTAATCCTTAAAATACTTAGCACCAACCCTGCCGTGTACTGTTTTTGGACTTGGGTTTACCCCATTTATGCCACTCTGTAAGGGATGCTCGCCATTCCACCTTTAGTGTCACGTGCATTGCTTGGACATAGTAGATGGTTAGCTAATACCTGAATCACTTATAAACACAGTTTGGGATGTATCACTTCATTTTGCTCCGATAGTAATTAATCTGAAAGTACTTCCAACAAACGCATCACGAAACATTTCCAAAAGTCCTTATGGTGTGTGTGTGTGTGTGTGTGTGTGTGTGTGTGTGTGTTTTGTTTTGTTTTGTTTGAGGCAGAGTCTCACTGTATCTCCCAGGCTGGAGTGCAATAGCAGGATTTTGGCTCACTGCAACCTCCACCTCCCAGGTTCAAGCAATTCTTGTGTCTCAGCCTCCTGAGTAGCTGGGATTATAGGCGTGAGCCACTGCACCCAATCCCCTTTTTTAATAACTAGAAACTGCAATGTAGTCACCTGAAATTTTTGTTACGTTTCAATAATATAAATGAATTTAAATTAATATTTTTTTTTTTTTTTTTTGAGACGGAGTTGCGCTCTTGTTACCCAGGCTGGAGTGCAATGGCGCGATCTCGGCTCACCACAGCCTCTGCCTCCTGGGTTCAGACAATTCTCCTGCCTCAGCCTCCTGAGTAGCTGGGATTATAGGCACGCGCCACCATGCCTAGCTAATTTTTTGTATTTTTAGTAGAAACGGGGTTTCACCATGTTGACCAGGATAGTCTCGATCTCTTGACCTCATGATCCACCCGCCTTGGCCTCCCAAAGTGCTGGGATTACAGGCGTGAGCCACCGCACCTGGCCTATTAAAACTTTTAATAGGATTGTTATGAAATCACCCAAACACACATGACTCTAATTTGTTTGTTTGGCAGGACACAGAGAAGTTGGTAGCTTTCTTGTTTGGAATCACCTCTCACATGGTGGCAGACGTCAGCTGGCATAGCCTGGGCATTGAACAAGGATTCCTTAGGACCATGGGAGCTGTGAGTACATCCCTGTATGGGGAATGAGTTCATGGGAGTGATACTGTCACACCTAAGGTCACAACCTGACCGTTTAAATAGAAAGGAAGATGTTACGTTATTCAGACTTCCGCCCAAAGCAGTGTTTGGTTAGAGGTCCCATCTTTTCCAATTCCTTCCTTTCATTCGTCTTGCCAACTGGGTAGATTGATCCCCAAGAGCAGAGCAGCTAGTGTGTACTGAATAGAGTAACAGATTCAGGGTTTTGTTTCAGTCACGAAAGTATTTGAGAAATCTTATGTTTTATTCAAGCTGTGTGTCTTAATAAGGATATGAATACCTGCCACTTAGTTCTATTTAAAACTAATATTTCTACCTTTTTGGACTTTTTGTTTTTAACTTCCTATATGAAAATGTCATATCCCCAAACTGAAAATTGTGATCTTACCTGACGACTTAGCCTCTGGAAGTCCCCTGGTTAGTGTTAATTACATTCTGTTAGAATGTGTGTTATATTTAATTGTTGATATTTATTAAACGTATAAAATGTTTAATTGTTAATATGTATGTATGTTTAAATATTAATTACAGTCTTAGAAATTTCAGCTTCAACTCAGATTGTTATACTCTACAAGTCAGAATTGTCTGTAGTAGCTTTATTGCTAGACATAGGTATCCAACTCAGTTGCCTCTGTGTGTGTGTGTGTGTGTGTGTGTGTGTGTGTGTGTGTGTGTGTGTATAAATCGTTAGTGTGAAAATCGAGTCTATTACGCATCCTCAGCAGTTCATTGAGTTAGCTGCCGTCTCCCCACCACCTGCTTGATGGTGGGAGCAAGAGTTGGGGCTACAATTTGTAATATACACCAGACGGTTCTCTCTCTTTCTCAGATTGATTTTCACGGCTCCTATTCTGAGGCTCACTCGGCTGGTGATTTTGGTACCGTTTATTTATATTTGCCGGATTTCCTCCTTGTGCTGTAGCTCACTTACAATGAGATCACTACTGTGCTTTCAATGTGTGTCTTGAACATTTTGCCTGTTGCATGTATTTGCTATTTAAGGCTGCAGTTTATTTAGAGTAGAGATGTACCTCATTTAACATGGAGATGTAGTTGTGAAAACTTGTGTATTTGTTGTTTAAAAAAAACTACATGTTATTGTTAACATGTCATAATTTCAGAAAGTCTTTACTTATACATTGGGTTAAAATTCATTAGCTAATGTCTTCTCTCCTAATACTTTAGCCTTAAACTGGTGAACTCTACCTTTTGTATGCAGTAGTAAATTACTTTGGAAAATTTAAACGAGGTGGTGAATGGTGTTTATTAAAAGAAACCCTTATGGTGTATATTTCCTTAAAGTAAAACAAAAAACAAAAAACACCTTTGGTTATATGGCTAATTCTTTCTTAATTTATATGCTTCACTAACTAAGATTTTTACAAGTTGCTTTTTCTTAAAAAAGAAAAAAAAGCATGCCTTTACCTAAAACAGTGAACAAAAACATGTATTAATGTAAAAAACTAATAATCTGGCTTGTCAGACTGCATGCTGAAAGACGCATAGTATGTTTGTCACTAATCCACCAAATGTCAATGTTTTTCTCATGCCCTAGGAGGAGACGTGTTGAGCCAGTTTGAATTCAATTTTAATTACCTTGCACGACGCTGGTAAGAGCAATGTACATTTAAACTTGTGATATCTGAATGGCATTTCGAACCTTGACTCTTTTTCTTAGAAACTGTAACTGAAAATACAATTAGAAGCCTTCTGCATTGGTAAAGCATGAGAAGCAAAACTGTAGATTAGAATAGTCGGAGTAGATTCTTGGAAAAATTGAATTCCACTCAGTTTTGAATGGAGTGGAGTTGACGAGTCTTAGCTTTACTTTTTCAAAATGATCATCTCAACTTCCGCTCCTGTGAACCTTGTGTGACCATTCTGCTGCTTCTGCGTTCTCCAGTATAACCATTCTGCTTCTGCGTTCTCCGGTGTAACCATTCTGCTTCTGCTTCCGCGTTCTCCGGTGTAACCATTCTGCTGCTTCTGCGTTCTCCGGTATAACCATTCTGCTTCTGCGTTCTCCGGTGTAACCATTCTGCTTCTGCGTTCTCCGGTATAACCATTATGCTTCTGCGTTCTCCGGTGTAACCATTCTGCTGCTTCTGCGTTCTCCGGTATAACCATTCTGCTTCTGCGTTCTCCGGTGTAACCATTCTGCTTCTGCGTTCTCCGGTGTAACCATTCTGCGTCCGCGTTCTCCGGTGTAACCATTCTGCTTCTGCGTTCTCCGGTGTAACCATTCTGCTTCTGCGTTCTCCGGTGTAACCATTCTGCTTCCGCGTTCTCCGGTGTAACCATTCTGCTTCTGCGTTCTCCGGTATAACCATTCTGCTGCTTCTGCGTTCTCCGGTATAACCATTCTGCTTCCGCGTTCTCCGGTGTAACCATTCTGCTTCCGCGTTCTCCGGTGTAACCATTCTGCTTCCGCGTTCTCCGGTGTAACCATTCTGCTTCCGCGTTCTCCGGTGTAACCATTCTGCTTCCGCGTTCTCCGGTGTAACCATTCTGCTTCCGCGTTCTCCGGTGTAACCATTCTGCTTCCGTGTTCTCCGGTGTAACCATTCTGCTGCTTCTGCGTTCTCCGGTATAACCATTCTGCTTCTGCGTTCTCCGGTGTAACCATTCTGCTTCTGCTTCCGCGTTCTCCGGTGTAACCATTCTGCTTCCGTGTTCTCCGGCGTAACCATTCTGCTTCTGCGTTCTCCGGTGTAACCATTCTGCTTCCGCGTTCTCCGGTGTAACCATTCTGCTTCCGCGTTCTCCGGTGTAACCATTCTGCTTCCGCGTTCTCCGGTGTAACCATTCTGCTTCCGCGTTCTCCGGCGTAACCATTCTGCTTCCGCGTTCTCCGGCGTAACCATTCTGCTTCCGCGTTCTCCGGCGTAACCATTCTGCTTCCGCGTTCTCCGGCGTAACCATTCTGCTTCCGCGTTCTCCGGCGTAACCATTCTGCTTCCGCGTTCTCCGGCGTAACCATTCTGCTTCTGCGTTCTCCGGTGTAACCATTCTGCTTCTGCGTTCTCCGGTGTAACCATTCTGCTTCTGCGTTCTCCGGTGTAACCATTCTGCTTCCGCGTTCTCCGGTGTAACCATTCTGCTTCCGTGTTCTCCGGTGTAACCATTCTGCTGCTTCTGCGTTCTCCGGTATAACCATTCTGCTTCTGCGTTCTCCGGTGTAACCATTCTGCTTCTGCGTTCTCCGGTGTAACCATTCTGCTTCTGCGTTCTCCGGTGTAACCATTCTGCTTGCGCGTTGTCCGGTATAACCATTCTGCTTCTGCGTTCTCCAGTACTTGGTACTGTCCAACCGGTGACACTTTTCAGCCTGTTTGTGTGTGATGGTTTCTCACTAAGGTTGCAGTTTCCATTTCCCGGATTAGTAACGAGGTCAAACTCTTCTATTTGGATGGAGCGTTTGTGTTTGATTTTAAGTGAAAACTTTTTCCAGTTTTCAATCTGTTTTTCTGTTGGATTGCTTATCCTTTTTATTTATTCATGAGTATTTATATATTCTGGCTTCTAGTTTACATTTAAATATTTAAAATATTTTCTCTTGTCAGTTTGTCACTTTGTTGTTACAAATGTCTTTCAGTTTGTGGTGTGTCTTTTCACTTATTTTATGGTGTATGTTGACTAACAGAATTTGTTAATTTTCATGTAGTTGAATCAGTTTTTCCTTTCTAATCTGTACGGCCCGATGTCTTATTTAAGAAATCCATTCTGGTTGGGCGCGGTGGCTCACGGCTGTAATCCCAGCACTTTGGGAGGCTGAGGAGGGTTGATAACGAGGTCAGGAGATTTCAGACCATCCTGGCCAACATGGGGAAACCCTGTCTCCACTAAAAATATAAAAATTAGCCAGGCGTGGTGGAGTGTGCCTGTAGTCCCAGATACTCGGGAGGTTGAGGCAAGAGAATCACTTGAACCTGGGAGGCGAAGTTTGCAGTGAGACAAGATCCAGCCACTGCACTCCAGCTTGGCAACAGAGCAAGACTCTGTCTCAGAAAACAAAGAAATCCGTTCTTAGCAGGGTGTGGTGGTACAGCACCTGTAGTCAATCTACTTGGGAGGCTGAGGAGGGTGGATCACTTGAGCACAGGAGTTTGAGGCTTCAGTGAGCTATGATTGTGACACTGCACTCCAGCCTAGGCAACAGACCCTGTGTCTTTAAAAAAAAAAAAAAAAAAAAGGCGGCGGGTGCTGTGGCTCACGCCTGTAATCCCAGCAGTTTGGGAGGCCGAGGCGGGTAGATCACGAGGTTTAGAGATCAAACCATCCTGGGCAACATGGTGAAATCCTGTCTCTACTACAAAAATTAGCTGGTTGCAGTGGCATGCACCTGTAGTCTCAACTACTCGGGAGGCTGAGGAAGGAGAATTGCTTGAACCCGGCAGTGGAAGCTGCAGTGAGCCGAGATTGCGCCACTGTACTCCAGCCTGGAGCTTGGCGACAAAGTGAGACTCTGTCTCAAAAAAAAAAAAAAAAAAAAAAAAAATAGGAAAGAAAACCCATCTACCCCGAGGGCAAATGGTTATTCTCTAACATAGACTTCTAAAGCTTTTATAGTTTTATTTCTTAGCTTTGTCTTTTCATTTAACTGGAGTTAATTTTTTGTATGTTCTGAGATGTAAATCTAATTTTATTTTTTTCCTGTAGAGATAACAAACTATCTCAGAATGACTTATCAACCCTTTTCTTAGTGATCTGCAGTAAGGAAACCCTGTTTCTGCTAAAAATACAAAAATTAGCCTGGTGTGATATGGCACATGCCTGTAATCCCAGCGACTTGGGAGGCCGAGGCAGGAGAATCACTTGAACCCGGGAGGCGGCGGTTGCAGTGAGCTGAGATCGTGCCACTACACTCCAGCCTGGGTGACGAGCAAAACCATGTCTCAAAAAAACAAAACAAAACCCAAAAGCCAAAAAAAAAAGAAAACCCAAAAAACTTATTCAAATAAAAAGATTCGTAAGGTATAAATAAGATAAGATCACTATTTATTTCTTTTTATCAGGTTGATCTACTGATTTTTTTGTTTGTAAATTTATTATGCTTTAAGTTCTGGGTACATGTGCAGAATGTGCAGTTTGTTACGTAGGTAGACAGGAGCCATGGGGGTTTGCTGCATCCATCATCCTGTCATCTACATTAGGTATTTCTCCTAATGCCATCCCTCCCCTAGTCCTCCACCTGCCGACAGGCCTTGCTGGGTGATGTACCCCTCCCCATGTCCATGTGTTCTCATTGTTCACCTCTCACTTATGAGTGAGAACATGCGGTGTTTGGTTTTCTGTTCTTGTGTTACTTTGCTGAGAATGCTGGTTTCTAGCTTCCTCCATGTCCCTGCAAAAAACATGAACTCATCCTTTTTATGGATGTATAGTATTCCATAGTATATATGTGCCACATTTTCTTTATCCAGTCTATCTCTAATGGGCATTTGGGTTGGTTCCAAGTCTTTGCTGTTACGAACAATGCCACAGTAAACATATGTGTGCATGTGTCTTTTTTTTTTTTTTTTTTTTTTTGAGACAGAGTTTTTTGCTCTTGTTGCCCAGAATGGAGTGCAGTAGTACGACCTCGGCTCACTGCAACCTCTGCCTCCCGGGTTCAAGTGATTCTCCTGCCTCAGCCTCCTGTGTAGCTCAGATTATAGACATGTGCCACCATGCCCAGCTAATTTTGTATTTTTTAGTAGAGACGGATTTCTCCATATTGGTCAGGCTGGTCTCGAACTCCTGACCTCAGGTGATCTGCCTGCTTTGGCTTCCCAAAGTGCTGGGGTTACAGGCGTAAGCCACAGCGCCCAGCCGCAAGTGTCTTTCTGGAAGAATGATTTATAATCCTTTTGGTATATACCCAGTAATGGGATTGCTGGGTCAAATGGTATTTCTCCACACTGTCTTCCACAATGGTTGAACTAATTATACTTCCACCAACAGTGATCTGCTGATTAGGAAATAAATTAGTTTAAAAAATTTCCCCCATGAGGGTAGATTTTTCAGTTTCTTATAGTTGTGTCAAAGTTAGTTTTGCTATATATATTTTGAAGATACATTGTTAGGTACACTTAATTTCAAAAGGAAGGGTCTTTCTGGTGAATTGAGCCTTTCGTCATGATGCAGTAGCCATCTTTACCTCTAAATAGCTGCTGCATTGCATTACAGTCTGCTTTATCAGATACAACAGGAGTTACATTGGTCATGTTTGGTGATATTCCATGTTGCTAGAATAAGTAGCTCAGGTCATGCCACTGTGCTCCAGCCTGGGCAACAGGGTGAGACTCCGACTCCATCTGAAAAACATAAAAAAAACCCTCTGGGTTCCACACTACAGTGCAGGGTATGGCACATGTCCTCAGGGCAAAAGATGATTGTCCCATTTGCTCACCTCTCAGGATGTTTTGTTTCCAGTTGTTTTTGGCCTTAGAAAAATTTCTGCTGTCCTGCTAGCCTGGTGATTCATTTAAAAAAATATTTTCTGCAATTTTGTCTAGCCTTTTAAGCTATTTTTATTGGGAATGCCAATCCAATGCTGCTCTTACAAAAAATGAGTCTCTCAATTGTTTCTTTCTTTTACCTACTAAAAGAAACCTACTAAAATCAGATTTTATTGGTTGTGATTTTTAGGTTGATTATTCTGAGGATTTTTAAATTAAAAGATGATTCAGTATAAATCTGATTTTAAATGCTGCTATTTCCAGTTGAACTAATACTTGTGAACCAAAAGCCTGATTGAGAATTGTTTTCATTGCTTTATAATGTCAACTAAGGAGCACTGGAGACAAGTCTCAAATTAGAAAGTTTGTTTTTCCAAGATTAAGGACATACCCATGACACACCCTCAGGAGGTCCTGATGGCAACGTGTGCCCAAGGCGGTCAGAGTACAGCTTGGTCCTCTGTACATGGTAGGGACATGTGGGGCATCAATCAATATGTGTGAAATGGCTATTGGCTGGTTAGCTCAGTCTGTTAGAACATGGTACTGATGACACCAATGTCGTGGGTTCAGTCCCCTTACAGGCCACTTGTTTGAACCAAGATCGCCCCACTGCACTCCAGCTTGGGTGACAGAGTGAGGCTCTATCTCAAAAAAAATAAGTAGAATGTCCATTGGTTCATCCCAGAAAGATGGGACAACTCAAAGTGAGCGGGAGGCTTCCAGGTCAGGTGGATAAGAGACATCCTTCTGGGTTTCCAATTAGCCTTTCACCGAATAAGTGACAGGAGCAGTGTCACTTATGCCTTAGTCTGGCTTAGTGAAAGAATTAGGTAAAAGAGCAATCAGACATTTATCTCAGGGGAGCAGAGGGATGACTTTTGATTTCTGTCTCTCCTTTGTCCCCAGGAATTTCCTTGTGGGTAAATCGTGAGGGAAATATGTAGCTTTTAATCTTGGTAGCGATCTTGTTTAGAAATCGATTGGGAGGCAGGTTTGCCCTATAGGGTTCCCAGCTTGACTTTTTTCCCTTTGGCTTAGTGATTTCAGGGTCCTGAGATTGATTTCCCTTTCACAATACTTCTATTCTTTGCATACTTTTTTTGTATACTTTGTATACTCTGAAATTAAGATGTCAGAGTGGACCTTCCCTCCCCTCCTTCCTTCCTAGTTTAAAAAAAAAAAAAAGTCAGCGTGAGGAGGCTTTTTTATAATAGTATTTGTAATTCTTGGGAATAATTCAACTTGAAGGAATGAAAATAATTTAAGTCACCTCTGGAGCTCTGAGCTCACAAAACTAAGCACCCCATTTGCAATTTAGAGTTAGTCCCCAATCTGTTAACCTGCATCAACACTTAAGTTACCAGCTCTTTGCTCCACGTTGTTGGGTAAATCATTTAGCTTTTCTTTGCCTTAATAATTTCTTCTTATGTACAATGGGATACAGCAGTACTAACCACCAAGATCATTGCTAGGATTGAATAGTGAGTGCATGTGAAGATGTCTACATGGTGTCTGGAACAAAAGGATCATGGAATAACTGTTAGCTGCAGTTGTTACTATTATTTCCAGCTTCAGAATCAAAACAACTCTAATTCTGCATTTTTCAGGTACGTACCAGTCAAAGACTTACTGGGAATTTATGAGAAACTCTATGGGCGGAAAGTCATCACCGAACGTGTCATTGTTGAGTGTTCACATATCCAGTTCTTAGAAATGTGAGTAGAACTCAGAGGACGGCACGCAGCTCATTTTATTGTGACTCCTTAGCACGGTTTTTATGTTTTAGTTTGAGACTGGATTTTGGGTTTATGGATTCTGCTTGTTGAAAGGCCATTGCACGACAGTGGATGTGGATGGATGAAACTTTTTCTTCATTATTTGCTTCATTTCTCTGTTAGAAACTGCAACTCACAGTCAAAATTATTGCTTATGTTGCAGGTACGGTGAGATGCTAGCTGTTTCCAAGGTAAAGGCTTCATTCTTGTAAATCTGAAAGGATGACAAAGTTATCAGCTGTAGAACTGTGGTAATCGATTCATTTTTCCTTCTCTCTGCCATAGCTGTATCCCAGTTACTCTACGAAGTCCCCGTTTTTGGTGGAACAATTCCAAGAGTATTTTCTTGGAGGACTGGATGATATGGCGTTTTGGTCCACGAATATTTACAATCTGACAAGCTTCATGTTGGAGAATGGGACCAGGTGAATTAATATTCCATTTCCAATACAAATCACTCCCTGCCTCTTACCCCAGGCCCCAGCATAACTCTCAGGTTTTTCAACTGAGCACATCAAAACAAAACAAAACAAAACAAAAAATCTCGTGAAGTGCTTTCCACACCTATTCAGAGGGAAAGAATGGAGACTGAGTCATCTTATAAACCTGACTGGTTCCCATCTGCTTGGCTTGGTTGATGCTGTTCGTGTTTTAGAAATAGATATTACCAAATTTGGGGTCTGCCAGAAATGGCTCATGCTCCATTTGTTTCTTTGTTTTTGAGACAGAGTCTTGCTCTGTTGCTCAGGCTGCAGTGCAGTGGCATGATGTCGGCTCACTGCAACCTCTGCCTCCTGGGTTCAAGGGATTCCCGTGCCGCAGCCTCCCAAGCGGCTAGGACTACAGGTGTGCACCACCATGCCTGGCTGTTTTTTTTTTTTTTAAGAGAAGGAAAGAAAAGAAAGGGGTGAAGGAGAGGAAGAAAGAGGGAGAGAGAATGGAAATGTTGCTTTATTCTAAAAATGGGTATTAATAATGGCCGATCAATATTTCATTTAAACCTATGAGTAGGTGTGATGTGATATTGACAAGAATGTATGTTTTGTGTATTTGAAGTGGAGAGCTCTATAAATGTTTATTAAGTTTACTTGTTGTGGATCTGAGTTCAAGTCCTGGCTATCCTTATTAATTTTCTGTCTTGTTGAGTCTAAATCTCTTTATAGGTCTTATGTATCTGGGTGTTAGGGTCGTTAGCTCTTATTGTTGCATTGATCCTTTTACCACTATATCTTTGTTGCTTTAAAATCTATTTTATCAGATGTGAGAATTGCAACTACTGCTATTTATTTATTTATTTATGCTCTCCATTTGGTTGGTAAATCTTTCTCCATCCCTTTGTTTTGAGTCTTTGTGTATCCTTGCCTGTGAAACAGGTCTGGATGTGACATGCCGTTGGGTTTTGGCTGTGTCTTTTGATTGGGGGATTTAGTCGATTTAAATTTAGGGTTACTGCCATTTGATGTTAACTGGCTGTTTTATCCATTCATTGTGTAAATTATTCTTTATGTTCATGCTCTTTACTTTCTGGTGTATTTTTAGAAAGGCTAATACTGGTTGTTTCTTTCTGTGTGTAATGCTTCTTTCAGAAGCTCTTGTAAAGCAGGCCTGGAGGTAATAAAATATCTGAATACTTGCTTGTTCATAAAATATTTTTCCTTCAGTTGTGAAGCTTAGTTTGGCTGGATATGAAATTCTGGGCTGAAAGTTCTGTTCTTTGAGGATGTTAAATATTGGCCCCCACTCTTCAATTCAAATTTTTGTATTTTTAGTAGAGATGGGGTTTCACTCCATTGGCCAGACTGGTCTCAAACTCCTGGCCTCAAGTGATCCACCTGCCTTGTCCTTCCAAAGTGCTGGGATTACATGTGTGAGCCACCGTGCCTGGCCTCCATTTGTTTCTTTTGGAAAAACCCATATTGGGGGCTGGAGCACCAGGTCTCCGCAGGCCGCAGAGTGGCTGTCATGTTGCTATAGTCAGCAACAAGGGTTTGGTGACACACTTCTCTATCCTGACTACACTCTTGGGTTTGAGGGTGTCAAAGGATACCTCACCTAATACTAAGAAAAGCAAACAGAGCCACAGCTACATGCCCTCCAACACACGCTCCAAAATAAAATGAGAAATAAATGTGTTTGTAAAACATTCTGTTGCTCAGAACAAGTGTAAATCAGAGACTCAGCCCAAATACAGATCAGGTAGGCTGCGATTCTCCGCATTTCCAGCTCTAGTAGATCATTAGACTCTCAGAGTCTTACCCTACCCCTAGATGAGAGGGAACTAATGCCCCTCTGATACCTGATTTCTTTCTTTCTTTCTTTTTAAGAGCACATGTGTTTTGTTTTTTGTTTTTGAGACAGGATCTTGCGGCGTCACCCAGGCTGGGGTGCAGTGGCATGATCTCACTTGAAATCTGCCACTGCACCCCAGCCTGGGTGGATGGACCGTCTCCTGGGCTCAAGTGATTCTCATGCCTCAGCCTCAAGTAGCTGGAACCACAGGCTCATGTCATTCCGTCCAGCTAATTTTTTTGTATTTTTGGTAGAGTTGGGGTTTTACCATGTTGCCCAGGCTGGTCTCTACCTGCTGAGATCAAGCAATCCACTTACGTTGGCCTCCCAAAGTTCTGGGACTATAGGCCTGAGCCACCATGCCTGGCCATATTTCTTTTTTTCTTTTCTTTTCTTTCTTTCTTTTTTTTTTTTTTTTAAGACAGGGTCTCGTTCTGTCACCGAGGCTGGAGTGCAGTGACCCGAACTTGGCTGACTGCATCCTCCGCCTCCTGGGTTCAAGCGATTCTCCTGCCTCAGCCTCCTGAGTAGTTGGGACTACAGTCATGCACCACTGTGCCCAGTTAATGTTGGTATTTTTAGTAGAGAGGGGGTTTCGATGTTGGTTGGCTGGGCTGATCTCGGTCTCCTGACCTCCAGTGATCCGCCCGCCTCTGCCTCCGGATGTGCTGGGATTACAGGCATGAGCTACCACACCCAGCCTAGAGAACCCATTTCTGACTGTACTGTTGGACCTGCAGCATCTTCCCACTGCTGACCCAAAGCAGGTGGAGATGTGGGTGTGGCTAGGAAGCACAGGGCAGCCCCTGAAGCAGCGATGGGGCAGAGTGGGAGGCACAGGGCGTACCATTAGCAGTGGGAAAGAGGTTCTCTGGGCAGGACCTGTGCCTGGGAGACTGATCCAGGTCAGGATGGCAGCAGAGTTGGCTGTTGATGAGTGGGAGTGGCCTGCAGAGGTGGACATCCAGAATGTTACACCGGATGAGGCTCCTTCAGAAATGCCCTACAAACATTTGCCGGCATCCGGACGACGCTAACCATGATTATATACTGTGCTGATTTGAAAAACAATTCCATTCGATGACAGAATCAACCTTCGCTTGCTACATACTAAACCTGTTTCGAAGACTCAATGAGTAACAATTTGGCAGGGGTGGCAATCTCATATGAATGCCATTTCTGATAGTGAAATAAGCCTCACCTGAAATCCCTGCGCGCTCCTCGTGTGGACGTGGCTTCTAGGTGCATGCTGCCCTGGTTGTAGAGAATTTAAGAGACCTGCCTCTCACTGCTGAGTTACCTGGGACAAGTTGCTAAACCTTCCAAAATCTTATTTCGTCACCTATGAGATTGAGACGGGAATACTATTTTTATCATAGGACTTCTGTGAGTAGATTAGATCAGTCAGGTAAGGGTTTAGCATAGAGTAAGCACTTACTAAGTGTGGGTTACTGTTGTTATTACTATGCTTGGAAGGAAGCAAAGTTTATATTGGAAAGATTCATAACAGATGGGCATGTTTGAGTGAGTGACCTGCAGTTACTTGTTTTGTATCATCCAAACTGGAAAACATTTTTTTGGTGTTCGTTTGTGGCTTGGTTTTCCAAATAGCTAAGGAAAGATGTGTAGCTGGACCTCACTCTTTCATTAGGAAAAGAAATGGAGAAATAACATGTTTCTTATCTCTCGATCCCTGTTCTGATTTACCAAGGTTTAAAATTTCATGAGTGGATCAATTGTTTGCATACATCTACAGAGAAAGATTGGCCAGAATTTATGAATATTTATGGGAAATTCAGTGAACTCTCCAAAAATAAGCAGCACAAATAAATTCATAACAGAAAGAAAACCATAAATATGTTCTTATTAGCAGCATTTCCCAGCTTACTGACAGTAGGTGATCTTCCACACCGCACTTCGGTTATTTGGAACTTAGGGTCTGTTTTCCTAAAGAAGCAATGAAATAGTGGCAGTCACATTCCCAGCCAGAACTCTGCTCACCTCAAAGTCTATTTGAAAATATAGCGCTAATGTTGTAAGACCGCCTTCTGCACCCTGGGATGGAGAAGAAAAGGTTCAAAGAGAACCTTCTCCACGGCTGAAAGCCAGCCGGAGAAATGTTTTGGTAGGAAAAGTTTGCCTTCAGCTTTTCCCACCCCCTTTTTGGAATTTTCCAGCAACTAATTTTCCTCACCCTACACTCCACCTGACTCTGCATTACCGCGCCGCCCTCAGTGTCCTCCATATGAATCCTCTGAAGATGGCTTCATTCCAGAACCCTCTCTGACGTGAATACCCACTCTCTCAATGCTTCAGCTCAGTGCTAGGGGAGAGCCTCTAATGGGAACAGCTTATCTCTTACATTCTCAGAGTCTTTTTCACTTGTGAAAGGGGATCCTTCATTAGCTATTTAATGACTGAATTTATGGAATTTTTTAAAGAAATGAAATGGAGAAATTCAGGCACATGTAGGCATAAATGTGCATACTTGGGCAGAAGGCGTAACTGGGAGTCAGTTTTTATCACAGTCTCAAATTCTGAGACGTCTCATGTTAGCATGGAACAGCTCAGCAGGTGGAGTAGGGAGGGAAGAGGAAGGCTGAGTCTAGGGTGACTGGCAGTGTAGGGCTGCCTAGGTCACCATGATAGTGACAGCTGTCCGCCTGTTCACCCTCTCTGGGACAACGTGGGCTCTTAACTGGTCCTGTGTGGCTGGATAATGAACACTTTATTATAATGATTATTTTTAAAGATGGGGTTTCACCATGATGGCCAGGCTGGTCTTGAACTCCTGACCTCAGGTGATCCACCCACCTTGGCCTCCCAAAGTGCTAGGATTACAGGCATGAGCCACCGTGCCCGGCAATAATGAACACCTCAAACGTTTGGGAGGTGGTTGAAGCACATGCCCGATTCTTGGTGAAATTCATGCTCGTGAGGAAGTAGACAGATGCCTAACTCATTTGACTATTTCCCCAGTGACTGCAGCCTACCTGAGAACCCTCTGTTCATTGCATGTGGCGGCCAGCAAAACCACACCCAGGGGTAAGTGGATTCCAAAATTATTCATAGAAAGAGTACATCTCATCTGGAGGGGGTGCCCTGTAGAGGCTGAGAACAGGGGACATGTAGAGACACCGTTGCAGGTTCAAATTCCAGATTTGCCACTTACAGCTGTGTGATTTTTAAACGAGCTGCTTGAATTTTGGAGCCGTAGCTTCCTCCTTTTGCAAAACGGAAAAAACGCTTCAACACTCCCAGAATTATGCAATGGTGGATGTAAAGCAATTAGCACAGAGTGAGTTGCTCATTAAGTGGTGGTAGCTGGGCACAGTGGCCCATACCTGTAATCCCAGCACTCTGGGAGGCTGAGACAGGAGGATCCCTTAAGTCCGGGTGTTCAGGACCAGCCTTGGCAACATAGGGAGAGCCCTGTATCTACAAAAAATGAAGAAAATTAGCCAGGTGTGGTGGTGTGTGCCTGTAGTCCCAGCTACTCGGGAGGCTGAGGCGGGAGGATTGCTTGAGCCTAGGAGGTTGAGACTGCAGTGAGCCGAGACCACGCCAGTACACTCCAGCCTGGGCAACGGGGAGAGTTAGACCCTGTCTGAAAAAAAGAAAATGGAAATGGAGTTAGTATTACAACTGTCAATATTATTGTCGTACTCATGTGCTTCACCCAGATTTCACCATGAAAATGTGTTTATCAATGAGACAGTGTGGGGAGAAGCCCTCTGTAGTAAGGGCCAGAGGTCTGGTTTTTTTCTTTCTTTCTCTTTTTGAGGTGGAGTGTTGCTCTGTCTCCAGGCTGGAGTGCAGTGGCACTATCTTGGCTCACTGCAACCTCCACCTCCCAGATTCAAGTGATTCTCCTACCTAAGCCTCCCGAATAGCTGGGACTATAGGTGCGCGCCACCACAGTGCTGGGATTACAGGCATGAGCCACCATGCCTGGCCCACCTCGTATTTTAGGAAATGGTATTTCCTGCTGGAGTAGAGCACAGCCACCAGTCATGTATGCATTCATTGAATCATGTTGTTAATAGATGTATATTAATATAACAATAATACAAATCATAAAATAGTCATCAGTAGGTGCCAGGAACTGCCGGACACTAGAGATACCACCGTGAACAAGACGGAAATGGTTCTTGCTCTCAGGCATACGGCCTGGCAGGTAGAAATCGTTCAGGGCACTGAACGAGTAATTGTGGCCATCGTTAAGTGTTAGGAAGAAAAATGCAAGGCATTGTGGGGATTTGTGACAGGGCCTCGTGTCATGGGCATGGGAGAGCTCTCCTTGAAGAAGTGGTGGCTTAACTGAGGTATTTAAGGATGATCAAGAGTGGGATACTAAAAAATAGAGTATTTCAATGAAAGGTGCTGAGTAGAATGAACTTAGCACTTGGAACAAAAATCACACAGAAAGGTTTCAGTGAAGTCTTCGTTTGTTTTATTTGAATTGGGTGAGTTCGTTTTTTTCTAGCAAGCCATTCCTTTCACAAAATTCTGTTTGTTAATCACATTGAACACCTTTAGATTAGGCTTTCCACCTGCAGGTTGCCAGAGCCATGACACTAGCTGGTGGCTTGCCCAGGGCCCCGTCGCTTACGGCTTTGGTCTACTCCCTGCTTCTGTAATTTCGGAAGCTTCTCCAAGTCCTCCAGTCCTCTGCTTTATGGCTGGTTGACATCTGTAAATGTGAAAATGTATTTTTATCTTCAATTCTAGCATGTCTTTGTAGATAAATCAGTATACCAGCTGGGTCGGTGGCTCTCACCTGTAATCCCAGCACTTTTGAGACCAGCCTGGCCAACATGGCGAAACTCTGTCTCTATTTAAAAAAAAAAAAAATTAGCCGGGTGTGGTGGTGCGTGCCTGTACTCCCAGGCAACTTGGGAGGCTGAGGCAGGAGAATTGCTTGAACCCAGAGGTAGCAGTGGGCCGAGATCACCACTGCACTCTGGGCTGGGGGACAGAGCAAGACTCTCAAACAAAAACTATACCAGTTCCCCACCAGCTGATATCTGTTTCTTACCCTTTTATGTGAAATACTGAAATACCTTTAATTTTTTCACAGTCTGGAAAGAATTGAGGCCTTTGACTCCTACTGTAGAGGTCTGAGATTATATGAAAATTTTTTTTAAGGATAGGCTTTTAGGCCTTAGAAATGTATTTACTAACAGATTTTGTGAAATGAAGGCTTTTCTAAAATTAGACTGTGTGTATTGCTCCTTCGGCCTTCCGATGTTACAATTCTGTATTTTTTTTTTTTTTTTTTTTTTGAGACAGTTTCGCTCTTATTACCCATACTGCAGTGCAGTGGCGGGATCTCGGCTCACTGCTACCTCCGCCTTCTGGGTTCAAGCAATTCTCCTGCCTCAGCCTCCCGAGTAGCTGGGATTACAGGCATGCACCACCATGCCCAGCTAATTTTTGTATTTTTAGTAGAGACGGGGTTTCACCTTGTTGACCAGGCTGGTCTCGATCTCTTGACCTCGTGATCCACCCGCCTCGGCCTCCCAAAGTGCTGGGATTCGATTCTGTACTTTCAACCTGTGATTAACATGACTGGATTCTTCAGCTCGGTTTGTCAGGGGTTAATCATTTTCTCAGTTTAACCAGTTTGTTCCTCTTTGTCCTCCACAGCTCGAAAAAGCAGAAAAATGATTTTCACAGGAATTTCACTACATCCCTAACTAAAAATACTGAGAATACTATAAACTATACTGAAAGAGGAGTGTTCTTCAGTGTAGATTCCTGGACCCCGGTAAGAATTTTCTGCTCAGGTTGAGAAAAAGGAATGCTGCTGCTTGTGATGTCTTGTTTTACAGAGTCCCTGGGTATTTACTTGTACACTGAAAGTTACCTGTGGTGGGGGGTGGTGGCTGGGAGGCTGAGATGCGAGGATCACTTGATGCCAGGAATTTGAGACTTATCTGGGCAACATAGCTAGGCCCTGTCTCTACAAAAAATAAATAAATTAGCTGGATGTGACGGCTGTGCCTGTAGTCACAGCTACTCGGAGGCTAAGGCAGGAGGATCGCTTGGGCCCAGGAGTTCGAGGCTGCAGTGAGCTATCGATCATGCCACCGCACTCCAGCCTGGGCTTAGACATGTGCCAGGCCAGCAGATACTTTTGGCATCCGTATGTGGTTTGTTCTGGAGATGCCCTGAGTCTGCTCCTCAGTGGTCTCTGTCAAGTCAAGATGACCCTGGGCCCCCAGGCCAGTCCTGCTTTGGCCTTAGTCCCGGGGACGTTTGCAGTGTTGAAGGCTCCCTGTGCATAGCCCCATTCTGTGTGAAATCCATCAATGAAGCTACCTATTAAGTGAAGGCACTCTACTGGGGGGATAGCAAATGAAAGACAGATGAACTCTGACCCTTAGAAAATACGAATCTAAAAGGAGTGACAAATCCAAAACTAACCATGGTGTGAGCAGACTCCAAGTGCAGACTAGCAAACGGCGAGGTGAGGGCTCGCTAGATGGCGAAGAGTGGGGGCGTCGTGGCTCACGCTGGGAATCTCAGCACTTTAAGTGGCTGAGGCAGGTGGGTCGCTTGAGCTCAGGAGTTTGAGACCAGCCTGGGGAACACAATGAGACCTTGTCTCTGCAAAAAAATACCAAAAAAGTAGGTGGGCATGGTGGTGTGCACTTGTAATCCCGGCTATTAGGGAGGCTGAGGTGGGAGGATTGCTTGACCCTGGAGGGCAGAGGTTGCTGTGAGCTGAGGTTGCACCACTGCACTGCAGCCCGAGTGCTACGGTGAGACCCTGTCTCACAAAAAACAAAGGGAGAAAAGCTTCACCTTGAAAGCTGTCAGACAGAGAAGGGTTCTTGCAGGAGGCGACACTGGAGTTAGGCCTTGGGCACTGGATAGTATTTCATCAGTGACAGAACGTTTGTTTGTGGGTTGGGGAAGTTGTAGGTGTTGGGAAATGTGAGCAGTGTTACTTGCCTGGAGCACAGGACAAGGGATACGAGCTACTGGGAGAGGCTTAGGAAGCGAAGTAGGCACTGGACTGTGGTGGCTCCTGATGTCTACACCCTCCTCCTGACACCTTTGCGAACGGGGTCTCTGGGAATCGGGGACGGGCCTGGTTTAGATTGAATGCTCCGCTGTCACTGCCTTAAAATTCTTAAAGAATATTTTTGTTGGTTTGTTTTTGAGATGGAGTCTGGCTCTGTAACCCAGCTGGAGTGTAGTGGCGTCATCTCAGCTCACTGCTACCTCTGCCTCCTGGGTTCAGACAGTTCTCCTGCCTCAGCCTCCTGAGTAGCTGGGATTGCAGGCGCCCACCACCGTGACTGGCTACTTTTTGTATTTTTAGTAGAGATAAGGTTTTATCATGTTGGCCAGGCTGGTCTGGCACTCCTGACCTCAGGTGATCCACCAGGCTCGGCCTCCCAAAGTGCTGGGATTACAGGTGTGAGCCACCGCACCCGGCGTTAAGAATTTGTTAACAAAAGGCTGCACATTTTAATTTTGCCCTGGCCTCTTTAGATGATGTTGCTGGTTCCAGACCGGGGGAACCTCTATCAAAGCACATGTCATTTTGTCTTGCATATTTGGATTTTCTCCTTTGAAAAGAAATGAATTGTCTAAGAAGGGAATTTATGTCATGGTGCCTGGCATACAGTAGGAGTTGATTAATTGCTTCCTGGATGAATGAGCAAGTCAGAGCTGGGCTTTAGGATGAGGCAATCTATGCATGGCCTGCCAGCGAGATTAGAGTGGGCAAAGCAGAAGGCATAGTCATGCCTGAAAGAGCCACAGAGCCTTTGCTTTCCTTCAGCCTGTGCCGTCTGGGCTGCCTTAATGCTGTGAGCCAACTGTGCTCTGCTTGGAGCAAACCCAGGATGCTGTGTTTGGTCTCATGTCACTCTTGGGTAGATGCAGAGTTGTGTCCCCTTAACTTGGGTGGATCTAGTATCTGGCCAGCTTGCTCAGGGTGACTCTAGTTTGTGGGGTTGCCTCTGTAGTAAGCATATTAAGAAGAGTTCAGCAACCCAAGCTGAGGGGCTTGCTGTCCCCCTAATTCTCTGGTATATGGCTCCTGGCACTGTGCATGTGACCTCTCATGCCTGGCAGCAAATACAGCCACATCTCAACTGGGGTGTGATTTGGAGGATATCTTTGGCATCCTGGTGTTACTCCAGTTGGTTTAAAAAGTACATATATACACAAATAGGATTCTAGCTGTAGACTGAAAGGACTAGTCTTTGTTGTTGTTGAGGCAGGGTCTCATTCTGTTGCTCAGGCTGGAGTGCGGTGACGGGATCTCTGCTCACTGCAACCTCGAATCTCTGGGCGTAGGTGATCCTCCCATTTCAGTCTTCTGAGTAGTTGGATTACAGGTATGCTCCACCATACCCGGCTAATTTTTTGTATGTTTTTGTCAAGATGGGGGTTCACCATGTTGCCCAGGCTGGTCTCAAACTCCTAGGCTCTTGTCTCAGCCTCCTAAAGTGCTGGGATTACAGGTGTGAGCCACTGCACCTGGCCAGACTTGTCTTAAAAAATTTTAGTCTACTGGGCACAGTGGCTCACGCCTGTGATCCCAGCACTTTGCGGGGCCAAGGCAGGTGGCTTGCTTGCTTAAGGTCAGGAATTTGAGACCTGCCTGGCCGACATGGTGAAACCCCATCTCTACTAAAATACATAAATTAGCTGGGTGTGGTGGTGTGCACCTGTAATCCCAGCTACCAGGGAGGCTGAGGCAGGAGAATTGCTGGAATCTAGGAGGCAGAGGTTGCAGTGAGCTGAGATTACACCACAGTCCTCCAGCCTGGGTGACAGAGCGAGAATTCTTTCTCCTCATGCTGGTCCGCACCTCTCAGGCTGTAACTCTCCCATCCCTGAGCATCAGCATAAGGCACTATCCTAACTCCCTGTCCGACGTGATCTTACTCGCTGATAGGAACTAATGTTCATTGTTTAGCACTTGTAAGAACTCACTTCCTTCATACACATCCAATTCTTTGGATAGGAAACAGTAGCTTTGTTGAGGATGCCCTGTGTCTTTACTGTCTGATTCTTTTATTTCAGGATTCTATGTCCTTTATGTACAAGGCGTTGGAAAGAAACATCAGGACCTTGTTCACAGGTGACTCTCGGCCGTCGCAGAAGCACGTCTCCAGCCCCTTGGCATCTTACTACTTGTCACTTCCTTATGCAAGGCTTGGCTGGTACGTTTAAGTTTATCTCACTTGTGAATGTTTTCCTCAGTATTTTTATTCAGTCATTATGCATCTGTTTTTAAATTTCATTTTATTTTATTTTTGAGACAGAGTCTTGCTTTGTCGCCCAGGCTGGAGTGCAGTGGTGTGATCTCGGCTCACTGCAACCTCCACCTCCCAGGTTCAAGGTGTTTCTGCCTCAGCCTCCCGAGTAGCTGGGATTAGAGGCATGCGCCACCACGCCTGGCTAATGTTTGCATTTTTAGTAGAGAGGACGTTTCACCATGTTGGCCAAGCTCATCTGGAACTCCTGGGCTGGAGTGATCCGCCCACCTCAGCCTACCAAGGTCCTGGGATTAGGCATGAGTCACAGCGCCCAGCCCTCTGCAACTGTTTTAAATGGCACTTGTTAGCACCTTGTTTGCCAATCAATTCATCATCAACAAAAGCATTAATGTATTTGATTTTTAAAATTCTGTTTTCTATACTAGAGACGGGATTTTGCATTGTTACCCAGGCTGGTCTCAAACCCCTGGGCCAAGTGATCCATCTGCCTCAGCCTCCCAAAGTGCTGGGATTACAGGCATGAGCCACTGTGCCTGGCCAAAAGCATTAATGTAAGGGTTAAGTTACTGTAACAACGAAATTATCTCCTTAAATTTGGTCAAATGTGTTTAAATACAAGGATGTTTTGGTTTACTAAATCACAACACTAAAGGTTTATTTCATGGAATTTTTGCAAAGCTCTGATGTTCTTGGAGATACATTGTTACAGATTTCTTTTGTAACCTAATAACATTAGAAGGATTTAAGCAGATAGCTGTTGTAGTGATTTAAGTCTTTTAACTTCATATGTTAAAAGCTGATATACCGTGATAGTTTTATAAAGAGAATGTTAAGAATTCCTCTGATTTTAAAATCAACCAAAACTAAGCCCCCCATAAATGAATAAAATAAAAACAAAACAGCAACAACATGCAAAACTGAGCCCAAGTACCTACAAGTGACTGTTTTCTGGAGGTTGAATGAAGGCTTTTTTAAAAAAAAAATCACACCCCTGAATTCCAAAGGGCATTGCCTTCCCTTGGCACAGTTTCCTGACAGCCCTTCCTTTCCGGGCCTCTGTGCATTCAGCTCTAGTGCGGGAGACAGGGAGGTGAATGCTGTCTTCGCTGGTTGTTCACTTGTGAGTAATGGCTCTTCTTGGCCACCTTCCTGCAAGATCCAAAAGGCCTCCTGCTGGGCTGGCAGCCACACAAGGACAGCCAGCCACAGCGACATCCCTAGGGCCACTACTGGCCAGCACTGAGCCTCCAGAGTGCAGAGAACAGCAGCGGACGCCCGGCATGCCTGCGACTCCCACCAGCCATCATGGCCTTAAACAAGTGCTCTTGCCTTCTTCCTTTGTTCTGCCATTTGTTCTTTATGTGGCGATAAGACCTAGAATAAACACCAGTCTTTCCAGCCCCATTGGCGGCACCCGAACCTTTGGCTCGGCTTACCCAGCTCTGTAACTGGTGGCTGGTGGCATCTCATCTAGGAACCTCTGCTACACATGTTGGACACTTGATCGGCCCAGTAGCAGTTGCCTGTGTGGCGATGGTAGAAGCATAGTGCATTTCACACAGGCTTGTCTTTGATCAGGCAACACACTGATAAGAGTTGAGCAGACCAGAAAGCAGCCTGCGCCGTGGCTGGAGGGGCTGGGCTGGTGCTCTCAGGCAAGCCCTGGTTTGACATGTAAGACGGGAAGCTTCATGAGGACACTTTTCATCCTCACAGGTTATATGGTCCCGAAATGCTCAGGGGTCTTCATTTGTCCATTTTTATTGTATTTTTCCCCTAAAAGAATGATGCTGAATCACACAAACAGCACAACCTCAGAAGCAAATATTCACAACAGTCCACACAGGGTGGAAAAGTCAGTGAGAGGAAGTTAGCGCACTGGGCTGTAGAAAGGAAAGTCAGTGAGAGGAAGTCAGCGCACTGGGCTGTAGAAAGGAAAGTCAGTGAGAGGAAGTCAGCGCACTGGGCTGTAGAAAGGAAAGTCAGTGAGAGGAAGTCAGCGCACTGGGCTGTAGAAAGGAAAGTCAGTGAGAGGAAGTCAGCGCACTGGGCTGTAGAAAGGAAAGTCAGTGAGAGGAAGTCAGCGCACTGGGCTGTAGAAAGGAAAGTCAGTGAGGGGAAGTCAGCGCACTGGGCTGTAGAAAGGAAAGTCAGTGAGGGGAAGTCAGCGCACTGGGCTGTAGAAAGGAAAGTCAGTGAGGGGAAGTCAGCGCACTGGGCTGTAGAAAGGAAAGTCAGTGAGGGGAAGTCAGCGCACTGGGCTGTAGAAAGGAAAGTCAGTGAGGGGAAGTCAGCGCACTGGGCTGTAGAAAGGAAAGTCAGTGAGGGGAAGTCAGCGCACTGGGCTGTAGAAAGGAAAGTCAGTGAGGGGAAGTCAGCGCACTGGGCTGTAGAAAGGAAAGTCAGTGAGGGGAAGTCAGCGCACTGGGCTGTAGAAAGGAAAGTCAGTGAGGGGAAGTCAGCGCACTGGGCTGTAGAAAGGAAAGTCAGTGAGGAAGTCAGCGCACTGGGCTGTAGAAAGGAAAGTCAGTGAGAGGAAGTCAGCGCACTGGGCTGTAGAAAGGAAAGTCAGTGAGGAAGTCAGCGCACTGGGCTGTAGAAAGGAAAGTCAGTGAGAGGAAGTCAGCGCACTGGGCTGTAGAAAGGAAAGTCAGTGAGAGGAAGTCAGCGCACTGGGCTGTAGAAAGGAAAGTCAGTGAGGAAGTCAGCGCACTGGGCTGTAGAAAGGAAAGTCAGTGAGGAAGTTAGCGCACTGGGCTGTAGAAAGGAAAGTCAGTGAGAGGAAGTTAGCGCACTGGGCTGTAGAAAGGAAAGTCAGTGAGGAAGTTAGCGCACTGGGCTGTAGAAAGGAAAGTCAGTGAGGAAGTTAGCGCACTGGGCTGTAGAAAGGAAAGTGAGAGGAAGTCAGCGCACTGGGCTGTAGAAAGGAAAGTCAGTGAGAGGAAGTTAGCGCACTGGGCTGTAGAAAGGAAAGTCAGTGAGAGGAAGTTAGCGCACTGGGCTGTAGAAAGGAAAGTCAGTGAGGAAGTTAGCGCACTGGGCTGTAGAAAGGAAAGTCAGAGGAAGTTGGCGCACTGGGCTGTAGAAAGGAAAGTCAGTGAGAGGAAGTTAGCGCACTGGGCTGTAGAAAGGAAAGTCAGTGAGAGGAAGTCAGCGCACTGGGCTGTAGAAAGGAAAGTCAGTGAGAGGAAGTTAGCGCACTGGGCTGTAGAAAGGAAAGTCAGTGAGAGGAAGTTAGCGCACTGGGCTGTAGAAAGGAAAGTCAGTGAGAGGAAGTTAGTGCACTGGGCTGTAGAAAGGAAAGAAGCAGGAGATAGCTTCACCCCTCGTGCTCAGTGTGCACCATGGTGGGTCCCTTCACTTCTCTAAGGGCAATGACCTCAGCTGACCTCAACCAGGATGGGCATGGCGACCTCATGGTGGGTGCACCAGGCTACAGCCGCCCTGGCCACGTCCATGTCGGGCGTGTGTACCTCCTCTATGGTGGTGACCTGGGCCTGCCGCCCATCGACCTGGACCTGGACCAGGAGGCGCATGGGATCCTTGAAGGCTTCCAGGTGAGCCACCATCTCACACTTTCTCTTCTAGCGCTCAGTAGCCACTGCTTGCATTTTGTGGCAGATTCTCCAGGATGAGTAACTAGTAACAAGAATAATTACGGTAACAAACAGCTGGTAGTGTACAATTGCAAATCACTTTTTATTTTTAAAACTATGTTCACATCATTTGTTGTTCTGTCATTGCTCTAATACCTTCCAAAAACACACGTGCTATTGAGAAATGCTTTGCATGGCCAGTTGGGATGTGATTTCTTGATAATATAGAAGCTCTTCTCACACACACACACACACACACACACACACACACACACACAATGTATATGTTTACAAAACTTTTAAGCATTTTATTTATTTTCGAGATGGAGTCACTTGCTCTGTCACCCAGGCTGGAGTGCAGTGGTGCGATCTCTGCTCTTTGCAACTTGCACCTCCCAGGTTCAAGCAATTCTCCTGCCTCACCGAGAAGCTGGGACTACAGGCGTACACCACCATGCCTGGCTAATTTTTGTATTTTTAGTAGAGATGGAGTTTCACTGTGTTGGCCAGGCTGATCTGAAACTCCTGACCTCAGGTAACCCACCTGCCTTGGCCTCCCAAAGCGCTGGGATTACAGGCACGAGTCCCCGCGCCCGGCCAGAATTTTAGATTCACAGAAATGATATAAAGATAGTTCAGAGAGTTCCCAAGTACTGTTTGCTCATTTTCCCCTCTGTTAACATCTTACGTAATTATGGTATACTTGTCAGAAATTAAAAATAAAAACAACACTGATACATCACTATTAACTAGACGCCAGACTTTTCCTTAGATTTCCTTCTTTTGTCCTACCTGGTTATTCATCTTCTGAAAAAACCCGCAGTGATGACAGACGTTCCTCGCGGAGTCCAGGCATTAGTTCCTCCCAGGAATGCCAGCATCCTGGAAAGTGTTTCTAACAGCAGAGGCATTGGTTTTTGTAGCAGCCATAAGGAGGGGAGGCAGAGCCCTGCTGCTAGTCGCTGACAGGGGTGGGGCTTCTGGTGACACTGGCCTGGCACTTCATTCTCTGAGTGTCAAGCGCCAGGGGAAGGAACCCTAGACCTCTGGTCAAATCATTGGGGTGGTTCTTCCAGGCAAGCCATGTAACCTTTCCTGTGATGTTAGAGAAAATAAGATGGCACACCTGAACATGCTTTTTTTTTTTTTTTTTTTGAGATGCAGTCTCACTCTGTTGGCCAGGCTGGTGTGCAGTGGTGTGACCTTGGCTCACTACAACCTCTGCCTCGTGGGTTTAAGTTATTCTCCCGTCTCAGCATCCCAAGTACCTGGGACTACAGGTGTGCACTGCCATGCCTGGCTAATTTTTGTAGAGACCGGGTTTCACCATATTGCTAAGGCTGGTCTTGAACTCTTGACCTCAGGCAATCTGTCCACCTCAGCCTCCCAAAGCGCTGGGATTGTAGGTGTGAGCCACCGTGCCCAGCCATGAACATGCTTTGAAAAATAAATGCAATGGTTTATGATCTAGTTTAGGCTCTGATGAAAGGAGCTCTGAATCCCACATGTACACATGAGGGACTGGCCAGTATATCAGGTCACAGTCTCAGAGGGACAACATTTTTCAGAGCCTTCTGACAGCAAATGAAAAATTTCCAAAATAAATCTATCTAATCTAGTTGCTTCTTACTTCTCTACAAAGCCTTTCTCCTGTTGTGCAAAGTGTAAAGCTTTGGGCGCGTGTGAACAGGGAGTAAGAGAGGCAGCTGCTTCCGGTGGGTGATAAACTCTCAAAGACCACTTGGGTGAGGAAGGCAGTGGCTCCATGCCCTCCTCCCCGAATGACCTTTGGTAATTTCAAAGATGTCAAGATAAAGGCATGGACCAGGGATAGGAACCCTGCCCTGAGGCCCTGACCGCAATGAGCGTCTCTGTGTCCTCATTGATAGACGGACGGTTTATGATGATAGGTATCTCAAGGCCTTGCCCGCTTTACAATTCTGCGCTCCTCTCGGAATGCTGGCTGGATGGTGATGAAATGAACCAGTCCTCAGCTGGCAGGGCCCCAGTTACTGGTTCCCACCCTGCCCTAACATGTTCTGTTTATCAAGTTTCTGCCTTATAGGAAAGGGCAGTACTCATAGATGCCATTGTCCACGGGCGTGGAGAGATTAGCCAATAAATGATGAACCTCGGTCGTTGAATGTGTGCATTATGTGGCAACCACAGCTGTGTGTGAAAGGCCATTGATTGTTACGAAATCTGGTAATGAATTGCATTCAGGTCCAGGCTGATTCCAGACAGTGGGAAAAGAAAGATGTAGAAAGTCGTGCCAGTGAATAGGGGTGTCCCCGAAGAGACTGGTTTTCCATCTGTGAGCTGTGAAAGGATGCTAACAGTTCCTCCCTTAATCCGTTCAAACAGCTTAGAGCAGTGTCTACAGCAGCACCGTCCTGCAGGGCTGTCTGCACTGACAGGAGTGTCCCGTAGCTGTGCTGGCCAGTGAAGGAGACACAAAACACAGGCTTTGAGCATTTGAAATGTGGCCAGTGCAACTGAGAAACTGAATTTGTATTTTTTTTTTTGAGTTGGAATTTTGGTTTTGTTGCCCAGGGTGGAGTGCAGTGTTGCCATATCAGCTCACAGCAACCTCTGCCTCCCAAGTAGCTGGGATTACAGGTGCCCACCACCATGCCCATGCAGGGCCAGAAACTGAATTTTTAATTATAATTCATGTTAATTCCTTTCAATTTAAATGTAACAGTCCTGTTTGGCTGGGGGCTCCCACCTTGGTTAGCATGGCTCTGGAGCATCCTGAGTATTCAGCAAATGTTAGCTACTGATGCTGATGTTGTATGATTATTTTAGATACTTTTTCTTTTCGAGATGGAGTCTCGCTCTGTTGCCCAGGATGGAGTGCAGTGGCATGACCTTGGCTCACTGCAACCTCTGCTTCCCAGATTCTAGCGATTCTCCTGCCTCAGCCTCCAGAGTAGCTGGGATTTCAGGCATGTGCCACCACACCTGGCTAATTTTTGTATTTTTAGTAGAGACGGGGTTTCACTATGTTGGCCAGGCTGGTCTCAAACTCCCGACCTCAGGTGATCCACCCGCCTTGGTCTCCTGAAATGCTGGGATTACAGGCATGAGCCACAGTGCCCAGCCTGTTTTAGATACTTTAAAAGATAAGTTTGGTGCTTAGTGTGGGTCAGAACATACACGAGGCTATTTTCAACAAACCTAGAACTTGTGAGTTCGACCGTCTACTTTCTGGCATCTTTGCTTCTTAAGGCAGACGGACGTGCTGAAAATATGCTTAGGGCAGAGCTCCCTAACTGATGTGTGTTATAGCTTGCTGCACCTTTGGCTTCTGGGTGGCGATGGGGGTTCCCCAGGCCTCTCGGCACGCTGGGAGTCAGAAGTGCTCTTTCCAAGGATGTGGCTCAGCCTAGGGGAAGTAAACTTGTGCCTCTTCAGCCCTCAGGTCGGTTTGGCTCGGCCTTGGCCGTGCTGGACTTTAACCAGGATGGCGTGCCTGACCTGGCTGTGGGCGCTCCCTCTGTGGGCTCCGACCAGCTCACCTACAAAGTAAGGCTGCTGCTGGGGTAGGGCTGGAGGAGAATGGGGTGGGCAGGGAGGGGACTCTGAGGGAGGCCTGAGGTGGGGTGAGCTTCTGGAGCAAAGCAGACAGCCAGTGTGACAGACAGGGCATTTGTTAGTAGATCATCTCAGGCCCCTACGGGGTTCTGGCTGTGACCTTGAGTTATCTTGTAGCACCTGCTGCCTCCCTGGCCTGATTTTGACCCTGTAGTTTCCCAGTTGCACTGGGTACTTTGTTCTTTTTTTCCTCCCCCACCATGCTGAAGGCCAGTGAAGGGAGACAAATCCCAGCTTATCTGTAGTTTCTGGTTATCACAGAAGGGAGGTGACTTCCCTGGACCTTTCCTCAAATGCTGGATCCAAGCCTGTTGCCTGCTGAGATCTTGGGCCCTGGTCTACAGGACTGGCTTTATACCATAGCAGGGCCCACACATCCGGGAGCCACGTGTGACCACGGAGGCCATGGGCCCCCGCTTGCCGGCTGCCCTGCTCAGGCTCCCCTCTCGCCCTTCTCCTCACACTGCATTTCTAGACATGCCAGCGCCCGTCACGTCCTGAACTCATCAGGCTCTATCCCTTTGTGATCTTTGGTCATACAGTTTCCTCTGCTTGAAAAGCGTCTTCTCCCACATCTGTCTTTAGGAGTGACATGCCACTTCTTGCAAAAAGTATCATCTAACTTTCTGGGTGAGGCTGATGCTTCTTTGTCCACATACAGCATCCTGTGCTTGCACCTGTTAAAGCTCCTACCATGAGTGTCATACTGACCTGTGTGCCCGCTTTTCAGGAGGGCAGAGATTGGTCTTATTTGCCATTGTGTACCTGGTACGTGGCTTATGATGGGAAAAAAAAGTGCTCATAGAATGAATGGGGATGGAGACAGGCAGGGTATAAGAGGAACTGATTGATAACACGGAATAAAACAGCTCAGCCTGTATCCTCAGGCAGGCGAATGGTACACATGTGGTATGCTGGCATTCAGAGGTGCCATGGGTACAAGGGGCTGCAGCCCGGGAGGCTTCATGGGAGATCCCGAAACTGCTGGGCCCAAGGTGGGCACAGGACTGAGTGAGTCAGTCTGCAAGTGTACTGCACGACTGGCGTGGAGGATCCTGAGCAAAACCCTGGGGAGGCAAAGAGGAGAGTAGCATTATTTCTGCAACGCAGACGCTCATGGTCTGATGGAAGTGACAGACGTAAAAAAGTTCCTTTCAGCCCAGCAGCAACGCAGAGGACGGGTCTGTCTGTCATCACGTTCCTAGTCATCAGGGTGGTGATAAGTTGACAAGGTCTCGCTCTAATTTAAAAAACAATTTTTTGGGCCGGGCGCGGTGGCTCACGCCTGTAATCCCAGCACTTTGGGAGGCCGAGGAGGGTGGATCACGAGGTCAAGAGATCGAGACCATCCTGGTCATAATGGTGAAACCCCGTCTCTACTAAAAATACAAAAATTAGCTGGGCACGGTGGCGCGCACCTGTAATCCCAGCTACTCGGGAGGCTGAGGCAGGAGAATTGCCTGAACCAAGGAGGTGGAGGCGGAGGCTGCGGTGAGCCGAGATTGCCCCATTGCACTCTGGCCTGGGCAATAGACAAGAAACAAAAAAGACACCAATTTTTTGTGGACACAGGATCTCACTGTGTTGTCCAGTCGGGTCTTGAACTCCTGGCCTCAAGCAGTGTTCCCACTTTGGCCTCCCAAAGCACTGGGATTATAGGCATCAGCCACCATGCCTGGACCCAGAGTCAGTCCGTGCTGTCTCGCTGCTATTTAAGGTTCTTGGGTCACCACCAGCGCCTCACGTCTGTCTGCTCTCTGTCCTTATCTAGGGTGCCGTGTATGTCTACTTTGGTTCCAAGCAAGGAAGAATGTCTTCTGCCCCTAACATCACCATCTCTTGCCAGGTATGTTGACCACTTCAGCCAGGTGCAGAAACCTGGGACTTAGTGTATCCTAGCTGCCACCAGGACTGGGTAAAATGTGCTCTCCTGGCTTCTTCTTTAGGACGTCTACTGTAACTTGGGCTGGACTCTGCTGGCTGCAGATGTGAATGGAGACAGTGAGCCTGATCTGGTGATTGGCTCCCCCTTTGCCCCAGGCAGAGGGAAGCAGAGGGGAATCGTGGCTGCATTTTATTCTGGTCCCAGCCACAGCGACAAAGGTAGTGCCTGCTGGGGGAACGGGTGGAGACTGTGGCCGCTGTGTGTGTACAGTAACTTACCCTGCACACAGGTTTATGTCCTTTGTCCGTATTCCACATCATTTCACCAATATTTTCACACAGTTGGTTACTCTTAAAAGATGTTCTGGCAAGTGATGTGCATAGATTCATTGAACATACAAAAAGTGACCTACAGCTTCTAGGCAGAGACCCAGAGAGGGCAAATAGACTGTTCTCATAGCGTCTCCATGTAAAATAGAAACACCAAGGAGGCTTTGCACCAAAAGCATCTCAGAGGTGCTGTCGACTGTGCCTTTTTTTTTTTTTTTTTTTGGGGTAGAGAGTGTCCCTCTGTCACCTAGGCTGGAGTGCAGTGGCACGATCTTGGCTCACTGCAGCCTCCACCTCCTGGGTTTAAGCAATTCTCCTTTCTCAGCCTCCTGAGTAGCTGGGACTACAGGCATCTGCCATCACACCCAGCTGATTTTTGTATTTTTAGTAGACATGGGGTTTCACCATATCGGTCGGGCTGGTCTTGGACTCCTGAGCTCAGGTGATGTGCCCCCCTTGGCCTCCCAAAGTGCTGGGATTAGAGGCATGAGCCACCACACCTGTCCCAGAGCCTTTTTAAACAACATCTTCCGCTCCACAGAAGCTTTGGAAATGTATTTCTCATTTCATGAAGTGTGAGATTCATTTTTGACATTGGGGTCCTGGGATCCCCATGAGGACACATAAGACTTTCGGCAAAAACTCAGCAAAGTGAACCCATTTCTATTAGCCTACAAAAAGGACCCTTTTCTTTTTTTCCATCCCAGTAGTCCTCTCAATTAAAGTATTAAAAGGGGCGGGTTGTCTTTAGAAAACCTGAACGTGGAGGCAGCCGACTGGACGGTGAGAGGCGAGGAAGACTTTGCCTGGTTGGGATACTCCCTTCATGGCGTCACCATGGACAACAGAACCTTGCTGCTGGTGGGGAGCCCGACCTGGAGGAATGCCAGCAGGTGAGGCTGCTGCTGAGGCCTGGGACCCACGAACACAGGGGCAGGCACCTGCTGCTGTGAGTATACTGAGTGTGGGGCGCAGGGAAATGGGCGAGGAAATGCTTGACCTTTGAAGGAAAAGCCAAGGCTCTGGGCAAGGTTGCAAATTCTCCGTAGAAATTTAAAAACACAATAGGCAAGTGTATTATTTGCTCTCAGTTCTGGAAGCTAGAAGTCCAAGATCAAGGTTGAGGTCAGAGGGTCGGTTTCTCCTGAGGCCTCTCTCCTCGGCTTGCAGATGGCTGTCTTCCCTCTGTGTGTGACCCATTCCCCATTTCTATTTTGTTCTTTTTGGAGGAAGGGGTGGGGTTCACTCTGTTGCGTAGGCCAGAGGGCAGTGGGTGATCATAACTTACGGCAGCCTCAAACTCCTGGGCTCAAGGGATCCTCCTGCCTGAGCCTCCGGAATAGCTGGGACTACAAGTGGGTGCCCATGCGTAACTTTTTTTTCTTAAGAACATTTTTGTAGGGATGGGGTATTGAAATGTTGCCCGGGCTGGTCTCAAACTGGCCTCAAGTGATCCTCCTGCCTCTCCTCTTCTTTGAAAGATACCAGTTGTATTAGATCGGGGTCCTCATCTTAACTTAATCACCTCCTTAAAGATTCTGTCTTCAAATAGAGTCACAATCTGAGATACTGGGGATTAGGACTTCAGCATAGGGATTGGGGGGACCACAGCTGAGTCTGTAACAATAGGTACCTCTAAGGCAGGGTGGTGGGTGTGGCACCTGGAGAGCCTGGATGTTGAGATGAACTCAGACAGTCCCCGTCACAGGGCCAGAGACCCTGCTGGGAGGCCTGGACAGGGGAGGTGCGTTTCCTTCCCTTGCACCTTCGTGCCTGGCCGGCCCTCAGTGTCGCTCCCTGGCGGCTGAGCCCAGTGTTTTTCCTTCTAGGCTGGGCCATTTGTTACGCATCCGAGATGAGAAAAAGAGCCTTGGGAGGGTGTATGGCTACTTCCCACCAAACCGCCAAAGCTGGTTTACCATTTCTGGAGACAAGGTATGGCAAACCCTCCCCCCACAGTGAGGTGGACACTCCAGGGAAGCTTTCTCTGCTGTACAGTATTGATTTATTGTGTCTCACAGGCAATGGGGAAACTGGGTACTTCCCTGTCCAGTGGCCGAGTGCTGATGAACGGGACTCTGACGCAGGTGCTGCTGGTTGGGGCCCCGACACACGGTAGGTCACGCACCCCGACGTCCCGCTTCCTCCCAGTCATGTGGCTCCTTGTACACGTCCTACTGGAGGAAAGTTACCAGATCTGGAGCCGAATAGATCTAAGTTTAAATATTTCTTTTTTTTCATAAATAGCAATTTATGTAACTTTGGGGAAGTGACTTAACCTCTCAGAACTTTTAGATCACCATCTACAAAACTGAAATTATCAATATCTATTTTAGGCCCACTGCAGTGGCTCACACCTGTAATCCCAGCATTTTGGGAGGCTGAGGTGGGAAGATCACTTGAGGTCAGGAGTTGGATATCAGCCTGGCTAACACAGTGAAACCTTGTCTCTACTAAAAATACAAAAATTAGCCAGGCATGGTGGTGCAGACTTGTAACCCCAGCTACTCAGAGGCTGAGACAGGAGAATTGCTTGATCCCAGGAGGTGGAAGTTGCAGCAAGCCACGATCATGCCACTGAACGCCAGCCTGGGCAACAGAGAAAGGCTTCATCTCAAAAAAATAAAATATCTATTTCAAAGGTTTGTTGAAAATGACATAAGAAAGTAACTTAGTGTGTATTAAAGCCCCTATCTCATTGAACTTGGAGCTAGAGAAAAATTGTGTAAGTCAGTTCACTAGGAATAGGTTTTTTAAGACAGCAAGACTGTCTCAAAAAAGAAAAAAAAGATGGGTCCTCGTAGTAGAGCAGCACAGCAGTGCTGTTGTGGCTCATGGCAGCCCTGACCTCCTGGGCTCACGTGATCCTTGCACCTCAGCCTCTTGAGTAGCTAGAACTACAGGCATGTATCAGCCACCACATTGTCTGTTTTATTTTATTATATTATATATATATATTTTTTGAGACAGTTTCGCTGTTGTTACCCAGGCTGGAGTGCAATGGTGCAATCTCGGCTCACTGCAACCTCTGCCTCCTGGCTTCAGGCAATTCTCCTGCCTCAGCCTCCCGAGTAGCTGGGATTACAGGCACGCGCCACCATGCCCAGCTAATTTTTTGTATTTTTAGTAGAGACGGGGTTTCACCACGTTGACCAGGATGGTCTCGATCTCTTGACCTCGTGATTCACCCCCCTCGGCCTCCCAAAGTGCTGGGATTACAGGCTTGAGCCACCGCATCCGGTCCTAATATTTTGTTTTTATAGAGACAGGGTCTCACCATGTTGGCCAGGCTGGTCTCTAACTCCTGGGCTCAAGTAATCCTCCCATCTTGGCCTCCCAAAGTGCTGGGATTATAGGCATGATGCACAGTACCCAGCCCTGAGGACATATTTTAATAAACCATTATTCTGTTGACTTTGGGAAAGAGAGTCTTTTTTTAAAAAAAAAAAAAAAAAAAAAAAAAAAAAACAACAACAAAAACTATTCCCAACTGGGCATGGTGGCTCACACCTGTAATCCCAGCACTTTGGGAGGCCAAGGCAGACGGATCACGTGGTCAGGAGTTAGAGACCAGCGTGGCCAACATGGTGAAACCCCGTCTCTACTAAAAATGTAAAAAGTAGCCAGGCTTTGGTGGCGTGCACCTGTAATCTCAGCTACTTGGGAGGCTGAGGCAGGAGAATCACTTGAACCCAGGAGGTGGAGGTTGCAGTGAGCCAAGATCACACCACTACAGTCCAGCCTGGGTGACAGAGCAAGACTCTGTCTCTCAAAAAAAAAAAAAAAAAAAAACTCCAGAGTATTCCCTCCCAGATTATAAAGGCGAATTATGCTTACTGTGGAAATGTGTGAAAATACAGGGAACTATATAGAAGGAAAAAGTCACCCCTTACCCAGATACTTAAAAACTGAAGCTTATACTGTATTTGGTATCGTCATGCCTGATTTTTTGACTTGTTTTATATCTTGAGCACGTTCTCACATTAGTAAATACTCTTCTAAAACACGATTTTTGACATCTGTGTTGCATTTTTTTTCATGCCAACATTTACAAACATTATCCTGTTGCCAGATTTGTAGGTTTGGATCCAGTTTCACACTATTGTGAACAGGGAATTATTGAACACTCATGTACCTGATCTTTGACCACCTTTCTGATGAGTTTTTTGGATAGATTCCTGGAGATGGAATTCCTGGAGCAGAGGATCTAATCTTTTTAAAAGTTCTTAGATATCTTCAAACTATTTTTCAGAAAGATTTTTGTTTCATGCCATCTGGGAAAGATTTGAGTAGTAAGCAGAAGCGGATCAGGCAGGCCAGGCGCGGAGGCTCACACCTGTAATCACGGAGGCCAGGCGTGGAGGCTCACACCTGTAATCGCGGTACTTTGAGATGCAGAGGCGGGCAGTTCACTTGAGCTCAGGAGTTAGAGACCAGCCTGGCCAACATGGTGAAACCCCGTCTCTACTAAAAATACAGAAATTAGCCAGGCGTGGTGGCACGTGCCTGTAATCCCAGCTACTCAAGAGGCTGAGCCACAGGAATTGCTTGAACTTGGGAGGTGGATTTGCAGTGAGCTGAGATTGTGCCATTGCACTCCAGCCCGGGCCACAGAGCGAGACTCAGTCTCAAAAAAAAAAGTGGATCAGGCAAAGGAATGGCTAAATTTTTCGTTGAATTGAGGACACAGCATTAAAACAACAAAAAAGTGCTGACAGCTTTGGCATCGTTTCTTGCTTTTCAGAGTCTAGGGAGTGATTTCTGGGCTCCTGCAACACACATTACTCACTCTTTTCTTCATCACTCTTTCTACCCAAGTGTCCTGAGTTAGTTTTTCAAACTTCCTTGGCTTTGGTGCCTTTACTCTCTTGATAATTTTTTTTTTTTTTTTTTTGTATTCCAAAGTATAATGCAAAATAGAAGACTGGGTGTGGTGGCTCATGCCTGTAATCGCAGCACTTTGGAAGGTTAAGGCGGGAGGATCACTGGAGCCCAGCAGTTCAAAACCAGTCTGGGCAACACAGTGAGACCCTGTTTCCACAAGCAATTTAAAAAATTAGCCAGATGTGGTGGCACGCATCTGTGGTCCTAGCTACTCAGGAGGCTAAGGTTGGGAAGATTGCTTGAGCCCAAGAATTTGAGACCAGCCTGGGCAATAGAGGGAGACCCTGTCTCTTCAGGAAAAAAAAAATGGTAGCATGGTGATGGTGCACGTGTAGTTCTAGCTACTCAAGAGGCTGAGATGGAAAGATCACTTGAGCTCAGGAGTTCAAGGCCGCAGTGAGCTGTGATCACATCACTGCACTCCAGCCTGGGTGGCAGAGTGAGACCACGTTTATAAAAAAGTAAAAAAAAGTTTAATTATAACTTTGGTATGTGCATATATGTTAATTTATAATATATATACATAACGAGTATATTATATATGTAACATACACATGTATAACATTAATGTCACAATCAGGCTATGTTATTTATATATTCCACTTGCATTGTTCAGATTTTCCCATTTTTACTTGTATTTTACTTGTATTTCACCCACACAATTTGTGGGGCCCAATTCCAAATAAAAATGCAGGGCCCCTTGTTAAAAAACTGTTGACAATTTCAAGTCAGAGACAGGACAACATGAAAACAGGCATAGGACCTTTCTAAATGCAGCCCCTGTGTGGTGACATGGGCACACACCCTGTATTTCTGTCTTAACCACTTAGCTCCTCTGGGCACTGCACAGCTTCTGAGCTTGAAATCAGGTGAGACATAACTTCCTTCATTTCCTAATCCACAGCAATTTTTGCATAGTGCTTGCATTTGATCACAACCTTCCCTGAGCATGCAGATTTGTAAAGATGTGGCATCACTGAAAGGAATGCGGGGCTCTCATGTCGAAACTGACCGGCCTCCACCTTGTAGTTCATGTGTTACCAGACAGATGTCACTGTTAGCTTTGAAATTTCAAAAGATTTGCAGCCTCTCTGGGAGTTTGCTGAAGCACTTCAGTTTGGGAATCAGAGCTGTAAGGCACAGATGAATCTAAATTTGAGAATTTTTATCTATTTTTTTTTTTTTTGAGATGGAGTCTCTGTCACCCAAGCTGGAGTACAGTGTTTTTAGTACAGACGGGGTTTCACCATGTTTGCCAGCCTGGTCTCAAACTCGTGACCTCAGGTGATCTGCCTGCCTCGGCCTCCCAAAGTGCTGGGATTACAGGCATGAACCTCCATGCCCGTGCTTAATCTCCTTAGGGCGTCGCCTGAGGACGCTAGTCTGGAGTCTGACTGTGTACAGAGCTAGTTAAGATAGTCCCATCCCTGACAGCCTGTCCTCTGTCTTTGTCTCAGAACCTTGGGTCAACGGTGGCCACTGCAGGTAGCAGTTTAAATATTTAGTAGAGATTTTAGAGTGCTGAGCAATAACTATGAAGTTTTTCAGGATAAAAGAGATAATCGCGATGGCAAGGCTGAGGTGAGATGGGCACCCTGGCACTGGTGGTACAATGTAAATTGATAAACCTTTCATAGAAAGAGGCTTGCAGAATGACAACAGCCTTAAATCCTTTCAATCCTTTGGATGCTATATGGACCAGTTCTATGTGTCTGTTCTAGGAAAGTATTTAGGACTGTGGGAAAGAATATTTATCACAAGACAGTTCATCCTCTATATCCATATCTGTGGATTCAACCAACCATTGGCAGAAAACATTTGAAAACACAATGGATGGTTGACTATTCTGAATATGTATAGGATTTTTTTTCTTATTTTCTAAACAACATGGTATAACAATCAACATAGTATTTACATTGGATTAGCTATTATAAATAATCTAGAGATGATTTAAACTATGAGAGGATGTGCATAGGTTATACAAATACACCATTTTTTAATTTTTTTTTTTTTGAGAGCAGAGTCTTGCTGTATTCCCAGGGCTGGAGTGCAGTGGCATGATCTTGGCTCACTGCATCCGCTGCCTCCTGGATTCAAGTGATTTTCCTGCCTCAGCCTCCGAAGTAGCTGGGACTACAGGTGTGCGTCACCACACCTAGTTTTTTTTTTTTTTAAATTATGTTCACCATGTTAGCCAGGCTGATCTCGAACTCTCTAACCTCAGACACTTC